CCCCCCTCGCCCACTCACACACACAATGACACAAAACCTTTTAGATACTGATCTCATGGAATTCCAACCAGGTGGTTTATGACGTGACTGATCAAGAGAGTTTCGACAACGTCAAGCAGTGGTTGAATGAAATTGATCGATACGCTAGTGAAAATGTCAACAAGCTTCTTGTTGGGAACAAGTGCGACCTAACGTCGCAGAAAGTTGTTGACTATGACACAGCAAAGGTAAAATATATATAATACTCCCTTCATCGTGCAAAGACTTGTTTGATTTTCATGAAGTTTAACAGAAGTGAAAACATTGTAGTTATAATTTGTTTAGAAGTGAAAATATTTAGAATTTTATCTAAAACGCTAACGCTAATCGAAAACGCTATTCCCAAACGGGACCATAATACTCCCTTCGTCCATCTAAGTTCTTACAGTCAATAATGCCAGCTATTTATCTGATTTTTCTGGGTTAGGCTTTTGCCGATGGATTAGGTATACCTTTCATGGAGACAAGCGCCAAAAATGCAACCAATGTGGAGCAAGCTTTCATGGCTATGGCAGCTACAATCAAAGAGAGGTAATGTACATTTTTCTTCTCCTCCATCTTTTTCTGTCAATCACATTTATTCTCAGACATTTCCCAAACTTAAACCGGTCTAGCCCGGAATCAAATTTTCCGGTCCGATTCAGATTCTCTCCACTAAACTATGAATCGCCCCGTAAAAAAAAGATGATGACCAGGTAAACGCCGTTGATTGCGTTTTTTTTTTAAATTTAAATTTTCCAGAATGGCAAGTCAGCCGGCGAATAATGCACGCCCGCCAACCGTGCATTTCCGAGGTCAACCTGTGACCAAGAACAACTCCTCCGGTTGCTGCTCTACTTGAAAAAGGCAGATCAGAAGATCATCCACCACATAACATTCCAATGTAAAAACAATAGGATTTGATTTCTTTATTAGTGGTTTGTGGCATTATTGTGATTCTACTTTATGACTTTATGCTTTCAAATCTCTCCCATTGCATGTCTTTGTTTAGAGTTCACTTTGTTTTTACTACCTTCTCAGTTTAAAACGGCATATGTACAAATTGTCATTTGTCATCCTTCAATTAAACCAAATTTATTCTATTTATTTTATTGAAAAACATACATAGTAATATACCTCCTGCCACAAATTGTTTACAACATTTCGAAAAACGTGTAAAATATAATCTCTTTTAAATTTAGTTTATTTGCAAATTGGTAGAAAAATAAAAAGAAAAAATTACATCATTCAAAAGTACTTCAAAAGTTCTACAAAACAAGATACGAGAAGAATACTTTATTTTATCAAATGATCAACCAAGATGAGTGAACAAATAAAAGTTATCAAGTGGTCGAAATAAAAACTGTGGTATTCTTTTTAGAACGGCAAGAGTAATAAATAATGTGATAAGATAAAAGTTTTAAAATAAAGTATTTAATAAATATATATGCATGTGTACTTAAATTTATATAATCATTTTTTGAGAATTAATAAACTAAAATATATAGTGGATAGTATAAAAATAAAATACTCCCTCTGTCGCAAAACGTAAGCAACATTTCGAATGACGTGTATTATCTCTTTTAAAATCATTTTATATATAAATTGGTAGAGAAAATAAAAATAAAAAATACACTGTTCAAAAATAGATCAGAAGTTCTACGCGTATAGAACAAATGCGACAAGAATATTTTATTTTATCAAATGATCAACCAAAATGAGTAAACAAATAAAAATTATCGGGAGGCCAAAATAGTAATTGTTGCTTACATTTTAGGACAGGGGAGTAATAAAATGATGTTTTTTAATTGATAAAGTATATAGAACTTTTTAAAAAATTAACATTAAAATAAATTTGAATCTTTAAGACATGTCTTATACTCGTAATAAAGAAATAAATATTTTTAAATTAGTTAAAATCTGAAAAGTATTTTCAGTATTTTTAATTTAATTTGCATAATTTCATCAATCATTTTATATGATAAAATATAATTGTCACATTGTGTTTTGTAGAGTTTTTGATGTAGTTTTAAATAATACAATTTATACATTTTTATGATATACTAATTTCAGTAATTTGTGAATAAAGTGATTTTAAAAATATTAGATTTTAAATATCTATATATATATGTGTGTGTGTGTGTGTAGGAAGCGTCTAAAATGGCACCAGTTACTTATACACAAGTTGCTTACACCAGTTCGTTTCGGGTATCTACGGTGCTCCGTTTGTAAAAACGACGGTTTCTACCTCCCCTAACCCTCCCCCTAAACCCCCTAGCCTAGCCCCACCCATGCCCCCCACCCCAGCCAGGGGCGGAGACAGGGGGGCATGCCTGGGCAAGTGCCCCCGGCGAAAATCCGGAGAATTAGCATTAGGTACCCAATCGGCGATGGGAGGCCGAATTTGCCTCCCCAGATTTTTCGAAGCTTTCCTTGGTCCGGCCGGCGGCAGCAGCTCGAAGAAAAAGGAGCCATTCCCGAAGAAAAAGAAATCCCGTACGACATCGTTTTTGTAAAGGGTTAAAAAAATGATTTTGGGCTTTGACCCAGCCCAAAAAAACGGAGTCACTTTAAATGTCATTATGTCAACCCAAAAAAAAATTACGGAGGTCATGATTTATGAAGAAATACGGAGTAGTGGAGTACCAGCCAAAAAACAAAATACGGAGGTCAATAGGTCATGACTCATGATTCATGAAGAAATAAGGAGTACTTTAATTAATTTCAGCCGTTCAGCACTTCATCGGCTTATTCGGCTGCACTCCACCGTCTCCACGATCGAAACGACGAAACCGGAAATTGGAAACTAGAAGGTATATGTAAATTTTACTCAATTATCTAATTTCGAGATTTGTTTCTTAATATTTGAAATTTTTGAATATTGCTAAATTATGTTTTGAATTTTGAATATTTAATTTGTTCTGTGGTTCCAGTGTGTTTGTTGATATTTAAATACTCCGTATTTGATAAATGTTAATTTCAAGTTCTAGAGATTAAGATATATGAAATTATTGTTTTAAGGTTATTGATATTTTATTTTGTTACTTTATTATTGAGTTAGTAAATTTTGAGACGTGACATGGATAAATTTGTTATTAGACAAAAGAAGAATTTAGACTTTATAAGTGATAAAAGACAATGAATATTGTCAAGATTGATTTACGCAACTGTTTGGGAGATGAGTTTTTATCAGATTGTCTGTTGTGCTCCTTTGAGAAAGAAATTTTTAGGAGCATTAATGACGAAATTATTATGCAGCGCATTCAAAAGTTGGCATCTCAAAAAAATTTATACGACCCCAATAAACTCTTACTCCTTTACACAAATAGAAGCTATGTTTAGTTGCACTTTGCCAATTAAAGTAGTTACTATTATGAATTTTTTTATTTATTAAATAAATTTTTGCCCCCCCCCCAATGAAGTCTTTCCTGGCTCCGCCACTGACCCCAGCCCCCCTCCCGCCCACCTATATGGAAATAGGAAAATTGTAAACCCGACCGTTGTTATCACTTGTTTAAAGATGTTTAAAATCAAAAAAGGCAGAGTATTATATGGAAATAGGAAAATTTTGGATTATAATTGCAACTATTTATTTTAGGTTTCATTAATTTTAGTGTTTTGAATAAAACTCTAATATTGTATATTAATTCTAATAACCTAACAATTAAGATTACTGTTTGATAATATTTCTAAACACTAATAGGAAACTTGAAAATTGTTGCCAAAGATGACCTATATTTAGTTCATTTAATTACAGTTATAGATAGGTGAAGGTTAAACGAAATGTAACACATAGAAATATTAATTGTTTTAAATTTAAAAACAATTTGATCTCAGACTTGCCAATTTTTCATGGTACCAAAACAAATGGCACACCCACTTATTGTTGTCATTCAATGATACTGTTCCACAACAAAACACACATTCTCTTGGACGGTGAGATTAAGCACTCCACATATATAGAGTAATTTTTATTAAACTAAATCAAACACAAAATCAAAACTGAATTTGAATATTCAAAAATTTTGTTTACCCGTTTATATAATATAAAATAAATTATAAATGATCCTTATCCCCAGGCCCCACCCACCCCCCCCCCAAACAAAACATTTCTTACGTCTGGCACACTAACCGGACAAGTTCATATAAGAGGCAAAATGGAGAAAAAGAACGCAAAAAAAGCACCCTCCCTTTTTCTTTCACTTGGATCCCAAAGTAGGGAACTGAGCAACATCTTCTATTCTTGGGGTCTCCATTTTCTTCTTTGGTGGGGGTGGGGGCTTGGCGGCCTCGGCGGTCTCGTTATATCCACGACCACCCGGGCCCCTCTCACGAATGCCCGGGCCTCTACCTCCAGACCCATTGTATCTCCGACTGTCGGCAAACTTGAGAATTTCATTTATAGGTTTGGCCTGCAAATATGAGGAATGTTAAACATAAGTAAATTATAAACAACCAACCAATAAACTCAAGGTTTTAAGTAAAAATCAGAACCAGAAAATCAGCGCAATGAATTTGAATTACCCACACCCATAAAACATGAATTTACTATATCACAGTATAGTTACAAACTATATATACGTTGACTTATAAAATATGCCCAGGTAGTCAAAGACAAAATGTTCATTGTTTTTTTGTTATTAGAGAAATGGCATAAATGCAAAATGAGAATTGAGAAAGCTAATGACACAAGCACATTGCAATAAGAGAAATAAAGGAACCTACCTTCTTGACCTTTTCCGGGGCCTCTTTCTTTTTCTCTTTTTCAGAAGCCTGGCATTATAACAGTTAAACAATCATCAGCATGAGTACTTCGGTCAGCTGTTTAAAAGAGCACATTGCATTTAAGAAACTGGGAAAAATACTCACCAGCTTGATGAAAATCTCTTCCTCATTCTTCTTGTTTGCCAAGAGTTGCATAGATTCAAAATCTTTGTCTAAGCAAACCTTTCTCTCCTCAGGCTTTAATGCCTGTAAAGCCTTCCTCTTTTCCTCTAACATTCTCTCATACTCATCCAGAGTGTATAACTAACCATCAATTTAATTAACACATAAATCACGGGTAAGATGGCATGCCAACAACAAATACAAACAGAATAACATATTTTCTATTTTAAAAAAAATATTAGCAAAGAGAAATATTTTTAATAAAAAATCCACATGTTTAGACCTTAGATGAAATCAAAAGTATCTGCAATTCTGATAAATAGTTTACCTTCTTCTCAGGCTCTTTCACTTCTTGTTCTTCAGGTCGAGAGCCTTTATTGGCATCACCTGCAACTTGTTGCTCATCTTGCTTCTCAAATGAATCAGTTTTCGTACCTTCATTCATTGACTCTTCAGGCTCCCTGAATATAGATAAATATAAATATATTCAGAAAATTAACACAATGCCCTAGGTTCTGTAAACTGTTTGTTTACAAAATGCACCTAACATTGAGTTTTCAAATAATTTTATTTTGCGCACATGAATGTCATTGAAATAGTTTACTTATATGGGGATGAGGTGGCAACTGGCAAATATTTTGTAATGTTTTTAACGCTTGGGAACTCTTACCAAAAAAGTTTGCTTGATAAATTTATCCAATGATTTCCAGTGAAGCATAAATTAGATATCTACCATCCATTTTGTGCAATGTACCGGTTTCATCCATACAAAGTTACAAATTTAACAATATAAAAGATAAGCTGAAATTGCATCATTACATAGCAACACCATCGGTAGGAGTTCCCCAATTTCCACGGCCAGAACCATTACGCTTCATTTCACTCCTGCATGGAGAACAAAGTAATAAATATCAAAAGTACAACCACATGAAACAGAAAATTCAATGATAATTCACATACCCATTTCCTGACCCACTATGGCGTTCATATGCCCTGCGAGGTTGCTCCCCTTCAGCATTTTCACCATTGAGTGGACCATTACGGCGACTGCCATGGTAGCCACCACGATACCCACTATTTCCCCCTTTACTTTCAAATGGCTTTCCCATTTCTCCCTCTTCAGTAGCAGGTCTATAACCTCTTTGCCTTTCATATGGCTTTCCACCTCCACCATATCCCCCTCTACCATCATTCTGGTTTCCACCTCCACCATAAGTCTCTTCTGAAGGTCTATAACCTCCTCTATTTTCATATTGATTTCCATCTCCCTCTTCAGAAGATCTGTAATTTCCTTTCTTTTCATGTGGTCTTCCACCATCACCGCCATAGCTCTCAACCACATTGAAAGCCTTTTCATATGGCTTACCACCTCTACCATAGCCATCCCTTTGTTCAAATGGCCTTCCACCTCTGTCTTCTGAAGACCTAAAACCCCCTCGCCCTTCATATGGCTTTCCAACATCACCGCCATAGCCACCTACTCTTTCAAATGACATATCACCCTCTCCCTCTTCTGAAGTTCTAAAGCCCCCTCTTTTATCATATGTCCTTCCACCATTGTCAGCATAGCCCCCTCTTTTATCATATGTCCTTCCACCATTATCACTATAGCCCCCTTTTCTTTCATATGGCCTTCCACCATTATCACCATATCCCCCCTTTCTTTCATATGTCCTTCCACCATTATCACCATATCCCCCCTTTCTTTCATATGTCCCTCCACCATTATCACCATAGCCCCCCTTTCTTTCATATGCCCTTCCACCATTATCACCATAGCCCCCTTTCACTAGCTGCCTTCTACCTTTGCCATTTTCTGTTTGCCCATAACCACCTGAGAACCCATTGCTGCTTCCATTAGTATTATCATTGTCAAAAGAATCTCCATCAATCTCTTGTGGACCTCCTTGTTTTGATTCATCTTTGGCTTTTTTGGCTGGTAAAAATTATCAAAACACAAAGTCATGAAATCATCTCTCAAGCATCAGTGAGAAAAACCAAGAAATCAGTACAGCTGGAGAATGCAGACAAATGGGCATGCAATTGTATCAATGACTTGAAATGTTTAATATTCTAATAAATCAAGTAAAAAATTAAAAAGAAAAAAACATGTGCATGACCTGCCAGTAAATACTCCATATATTTTTATTCACGGGTACAATACGTACAAATGAAAGGTGTTTTACATTGATAAACAAAATAAAGCGTGAAACTTTTGATGCATCCTGACTTCAAAAATACTTCAGTATACACACAAATACATGATCATTATTATCAATATTAATCACAATTAACAGGCATCAAATACTGCATAGAGAATCCTGAAAACGATGATTATATGTAAACATGGAGACTGGCCAGCGACACAATTAGAACGCAGAATAATAACATACAGCACAATTTCCTGATATTGACACTAACCTAGTGGCTTCAAGGGTTGAGATACAGGAACAGGAAGAGCGGCGGCGAGCACCACGGGATCCTCGCTATCACCGTCACCGAGAAGGTCAAACGGGTTTAAGGTCGTCATTGATCGGGCCTTTACTACGTTCGGTAGCTCTGATACGCCGATATGTATCTAAAGCTCGAAGCCTTGTCTGAGATTCTCCGAGATTAGAGAACCCTAGTTACTACAGGAATCCATGAAGAAGATGGAGACGAGAAGAGAGCATCGAAGCGAGAAATGCAGAGAGAGAGGAGCGGTAGAAACCCTAGCCGAAGCGGTGGAGAAAGGATTGCGTTGGAGGCGGGGTCTAAATATAGCTAAAACCCTAGTGGAGGAGAAATCTGTTGTGCGAGGATTCACCGTCTACAAGCTTGTGGCTTTGCCTATCTTTGGCCCATTAGCGCTTTTTTCTTTTACTTCATCCCATTAAATTATTTCTTTTCGAAAAAAGGTCATCCTTAAAATCAAAAATTTTGGTGTTATTTTTTAATTTTACTCTTATTTTTATAAGATTAAATTCTATATTTGGTCCTTTATAACAGGAGGTTTCTATATTTAGTCCTCTATTATTAAATATTACCTTAGTGGTCCTTCTTTTATGGGTACCTTTCCATAAATAGTCCTTTTTTTGATCTTCTATCATGTTGGTGTTAATTTGAGGGCTAAAAGTGTAATTTCACAATGATAATATATCTTTTTTGTCATACACAATTCTAAAGGCTCTTCTCTTTGCATCGTTTGTGAATTACAGTTGCTTTTTATGACAATGATAGTCTACAAATGTGATCTCTCGTCCGAATCCTAGCCCACAATCATAGTCATTATTTTTGTGTTATCCGCTTAACCAATATCAGAACACGTCACTAGATATAATGTTGATGTCAAATTATACTTTTAGCCTTTAAATTAACACTAACACGGCAGAAGATCAAAAAAAGGACCATTTGTGGAAAAATACCCTTAAAAAAGGACTACAGGAGGTAATATTTGATAATAAAGGACTAAATATGGAAACCCTCTGTTATAAAGGACCAATTATGAAATTTACTCTTTTTATAATAGAGTAAAATGAAATGTGCACGAAAGATGAGTTATAATTATAAAATACACATAATACAGTACTAAAATTACCCATTTTAAAGGCATGCCTTTTGTCAAACAGAAAAGATTTTAAGGAGCGAAGGAAGTAAACAAACATACAAATATCTAAATTTAATCTAATTAGATTTAGGAAAAAAATTCTTAAATAATTCCATATTTTCACGTTTTTTCAAAAACAATCTCAATTTTTACAATTACCAGAAATAATCTCACATTTTCGCATGTCTGGGAGTTTTGGGTCATCGTTAAAAAGCGAAGGAGTAACGACCACTTATAGAATGTTTGGAAAATTCATATTTTTTGCAAGTAATGAGAGGTGAAATTACTTTAGGCAAATTTATTTTTTTTTTAAATTCAAGATTTATGTTTTTAAATATTTAACAGAACACTCTTGTCAGATAATTGTCTCAAATCTTTTTAAACATATAACGATTTAGAATTTTTTTTCTATTTTTGGAGAATATAACATTGGATTAATCGAAAAAATAATTTAGAATATCGCCCGAGAAAGAAATTGCAATACAAAAAAATGAAGTGAGTTGTAAATTTATTAGTGCCATTTTGAAAAAATATATGTGCCATTTTCATAACTATTAAATTGTTATTTTGGGAAAAAAATATTTGTATTGAATTATTGAAAAATAAGTATTTTCTTACTACATAAATAAGCATGTATCTTTTTTAATAAAAACAATTTTAAAAAAGATTTTTTATGTGAGAATATCCACGAAATGGTATACACCCAAAGTGTACCATAGAGACACTTTTGTTTTAAATATCCAACATGTCACATAATGTGTTCAAATCTATTTTTTTTCTTTCCTTTTCATTTATAATAGAATTACTTTCCTCTAATTCTATAAAATTTTGTTAAATATACAAGCAAACAATGACATTGTTTGTCATCAGCATAAGAGATAAGCGTTAACGTTTTGAAAAGGCTGTCCGACGGTAGCGTTTAGCGTTAGCATTTTCATAATTAATTTACATCACTAAAATTTTATCTAAAATGCTAACGCTAATCGAAAACGATGTTCACAAACAACGCCTATATCGTTATATCACAATTTACTTATTGATAAAAAAAGTTAAAATGTACATGTCCAATACACGATAATATTGGAGTTTTAAGTGTGTAAGATTTCAAAAATTTATTAATAGTGAGAAAAATAAATGGCACGCACAAGAAGAAATTAATTTAGTCAAATCACATACTTCGTTTTATTTTTTAGATATTTTTCAACTCATTTTTCTATCTCTTTTCAATCTCTTTTGACTTTTTACATTCTTCCAAACACTTTTACACTACAGCCAGTAGAGCCTAATTCAGTTACATCACTGTGCGGTAGTGATGTGCTTTACTAGGTCTGGATCCAGGCTGACCCAAAATAATTAAAAATATTAAATATTTTGTAATACAAAAGTGTGAAAAATTAAATAATACATTTATATCAGTGATTTAATGCATTGCAAATTTTTGTACTAATACTATGGCCTTGTTTGGATGTTGGCTGTCAGTTATTGGTTGTTGCCTATTTGTATCAGCTGTTCTAAATAGCTGTTTAATTTAGTTGGTTTGACAAGCAAAATGAGCCGGCTGATTGCTAAAAATGTTTGGTAAAATTAGCTGTTTGAAAATAGCCGTTTCGATATATATATCGATATATATACACACACACATACATGTAAGAATTAAATCGTTAATATATGGAGTATAAAATTTTATTTTTCATATAATTCATAAGAAATTATTAGTATTTTTCGTGATTTTTACCTTTGATTTTCTCATATCTTTTTTTTAGATTTAAATTTTAAAATTTACTTTTTTTAATTATTGATTTTTTAGCGTTTATTTTTTTTACATATTATATAATATCTTTCAAGAAAAATGATAAAAAATATGTTTTCTAAAAAGCCAAGTTCAAAAGCTACTCTCATTGGCTTTTCGGATTTTTGTATTTTGGATAAAAAAAGCCAAGTAAAAAAACTATTAGCCCAACAATGGTTTTGGCGGTTCGATAAGTTAAACAAGCCAAAGTCAATTAAATATGCCAAAAACTATCCAAAAAGCTATTTTTCAAATACAACGTATAACTTAAGTTTGTATTTTATCAATAATAAAATTCTAATCAACAAAAATAAATTGAAAATAGGAAAAAAATATTACAAAAAAGTAGAAATGCTGTAAGAACAAGAATATTTCATGTTTAAAATAAAAATCACTAACAATTTTTTTGAAAGACGGATGGATGATATATTTTATTTAAAGTTTATTAAAAAATTAGGAACAACAATGTTTAAGAGCACTTATAATACCCGTGAAGTGCTAGGGCTTCAAACTTTCTCTTTCTGTCACGTCAGCTTAACTTACTTAAACTGGAAATTGGTTTAAGCTTCGGGGCTTCAAACTGAGACTTTAAACCTTTATTTTTACATTTTGAATAAACATATTCTAAAACTAAATAAATAAATTTAATTATTTAAATATTTAATTAAATTGAAACGAGAATAATTTATAAAAAAATTACATTTATTATATTAAAAAAATTAAATATGATTCACAAAATTTACATTCAATGAAAAAGAACATTTAATTAAGAAATACATTAATAAAAAACTAAAGCAAATTATATGTAGTCTTGATCTTTTGTTGTCTTCTCTTGATGATCATACGTTTGAAATCCGTTAACGTATCAAGATCGGTTTCCATTAATTCGATCTCTTATGTTGCTTTCTTCTCTCATTCTCTACTTATCTAAGAAAATTGATGATTGGATATTAAAGAAGATTGAGGATTGAAATTTAATATTTTTTTTAAAAATTTAACTAAAGATTTTTTTTGGGATGACGCCCGAAGGGAGCGGTTTTAGCGTCGGGGAGGCGTTAAACGCCTCATGGCACCCTCTGCGTTAAGAGCATTTCAATTGCTCTAACAATGTTTAATACAGAGTATATGTTACACATTAAAAATTAATTGTTGCAATATTTTTGTTCAATTGAATACTTTAAATTAAATAAAATCAAATTAAAAAATAAAAAATTATACTCGGGGTATTTATTTTGTCTCGGTCCGGGCTTGCCCGATGAACAACCCCTGCAGGTCTACAGTGCCCAGTGTTTCTTCATCTATAAATACATGTGCACTGTTTTTTGGCGGGGATTAAAGAGGGCAAATGAAAGCGCGGGAAAATGCTCGTCGTCTCCCTCCACGGAGGCGGACCCGGAAAGCCGAAATCGTCGACCCGGGATCGGAACCCGAACCGGACGAGGGCAACGATTTGGATCTGGAGAAAGCAAGGTTGATCAGCTTAGCTCTCGATTTTGGATTTGACGAAAACTCAGCCAAAAAGTGTTTGAATCGATTCATTGAACTCTACGGTAAACCCTAGAATATTGTATATGTTCAGTAGATTTTTAAAAACGATTTAAAACCCATATATAGAAAGCTAGTTCTTCTTAATATGAATTTTACAAAGGTTTCTATTCCTGAAGGTGAGGATGGGAAGGATTTCATCACAGTTGAACGCTCCGGAGATGATTTTCTTGCGGCGTTGGCCGATTCGGTGGAAGACACGGAGGATTGGGATGATTTGCAAGCCTTTGAATCAGAGGTTTGCGGGACTTTGGCTGATATTTTGCACAAGGATGTTCCAGGTGACACTGCAGCTGAAAATGATGGAAATGTATCTACATATACTATAGATGATTCCCCAGAGAGTGCAGGGATAATGAATCCAGTAGTGTTGGTTTCTTCAAGTGACAGTGAAGATGTGGATTATGGAAAACCAAGCAAAACAAATACTCTGTACACCCCCTCTGCATCTGGTCATGTTAGGAGTAATGGATGCAGCACTTCAAGCTCACATAGATGTCCTCCTTCATTTATTGTAGTAACTCTTATTCGATCTTCTGAATAAAATTACGTGCATTATTCGTTATGCTACCACTGTGCTTAATTGTTCATATAATCATATCTTTGTTATAGTATTCATCTCTATCACATTTCGTCAGACATGAATATATAGATGTTTTTTAAGTGCTGAAGTATTCTTGCTCATTTGCATGTGTCCTGGAAGGAATGCGAAAGCAGTGTGACTCGAGGTTCAGTTTCATCTCTATCCAGTAAACTGACATCTTGTACATCGATTAATGAAGACAAAACTCTTACTTATGACGAGCTGCAGCGGTTGGATGACATCGAGTTGGCAAATGTGGTAGTATTTGGAAACAGAAGTTTCAGGCCTCTGCAACATAGAGCTTGCCAAGCAATTCTGCAAAAGCGTGATTGCTTTATTCTTATGCCAACTGGAGGCGGAAAAAGTCTGTGCTACCAGGTATCATTTCATGCCAAGTTGGGTGTGTTTTTCTTGTCACATTTTTGTAATTTACTAGGTTATTGTAATGAGCCCCACTTTGGAATGACACTCTTTGGGAAGGTTGCTTTATAAGGCCTTGGGTTTTCCCATCCTAATAACTAGCTTTTTGCATGGCTTTCCCCCAAGGACTTGTGCTTGTTACAATTTTCTGGGAAAATAGATCTGTATGTGTTGAGTATTACACTTTTCTTTCCACTGTGCAGCTTCCCGCAATCCTGCAACCTGGTGTTACTGTTGTAGTATCACCTCTACTGTCTCTCATTCAAGACCAGATAGTCACATTAAACCTAAAGTTTGGAATACCATCAACCTTTTTGAATTCTCAGCAGAGTTATTCTCAATCAGCTGCTGTATTGCAAGAATTAAGGCAAGGTTTACTGGTTACATCTATCCCCCCTAAACCCACTGTTATCCTAAATTGTTATGCTGAAATGAAGATACTTTTATGAAGATTAAAGCAATAAGTTAACTTTGGAGTTCCATAATGTTAGAGTGACAAACAACAACAAATTCAGTATAATTCCAACTTCGTTGGGGTTTTAGGGTCAAGATGTACACAGTGTTACCCTTGTAAAAAACACAGACTGTTTTTGTTAGGCATTTGATACATTTACTTCCGAAAACTTTATAGTAAGCTCGAAGCAAGGGAAGTTTAATGCGTCATTTTGACTTAGTCCATAAGTCCATTATTCGCCCCAATTTAAACAATGTGAAAATGACTATTTTAGCTCCTTTGGCAATTGGGTGTGAAGGTGAAAAAAGAAGAATGTTAGGCCTAGATAGTATCTTGACATTCAAATGTAGCGATGTATTATGTTCTAAAATTTGTGTGAAGTTAAGTGACACTGATGTTTTTTTATGAATCTCACATGAGAAACTTGTGAAATATCTTCCTTAAACTCCTTTTAAGGAAGAATGGATAAAGAAAAGAGCACTTTTTTCACATTATTTGTTTGAATTGGCTGTCATATACTCCATATTTTGTGTACCCATTGTGGGAAGAAATATTATATTGGTAAAGACGTGAAGTACCATATTATGAGCTATTCTAGTTTTCATTGCTTTGTATGGGCAAAATTCACTTTCAACTTTCTATACATGTTTGATGCCAGCTCCATTGTGTGATATTGTAGTTGATGTGCTTTTTGTAGAGTGTCTTTGTGTAGGTCATTCAAATCTTGGCATTGATTGAACATCATATTCATGTTTGAATAAAATGGATTCTATGATTTTTTACCTAATTTCTAGGAAAGATAAACCTTCATGTAAGCTCCTGTATGTAACTCCTGAGAGGATAGCAGGAAACCTACCTTTTCAAGAGGTTCTAAATTTTCTCCACAGAAAGGTAATGTTAAATGCATTGATGAAAGCCATTTTCAATATGATTATATTGAAAAATCTATTCCAACCTCAGGTGATGGTTCTCACATTTTCTATTACATACCGCAGGGAAACTTAGCTGGGTTTGTTGTTGATGAAGCCCATTGTGTAAGGTATGCCTCATTGTAATTTGTAGTAACAGATGTTATACTGGCTTAAATAATTTCAGGGGAATGATCAAAGTGAGGGGCAAATGATTTGAATGCATTTGGTATTGTAAAATACTCAGAAATAGAACAATATTTTTCGATGAAAGTATTGTAGTGGCATATACAGTTCAAGTGAGATATATGTGGTGCAGCATTTCAAGAAAAGAGACCAATAATTTTAACCATGTGTAATTCTTTGAGTAGTTTTGTATTTAATCCAAGGTTTCCAAATGTCACAATGACCTCATTAGTTTTCCTGGAGATGTTTGAATAACCTCTTGGATTTTCTTTGATGATTTTCTTGGATGTGTTTCTTCAGCCAATGGGGACACGATTTCAGACCAGATTATAGACTCTTAGGTTGTCTCAAGCGAAACTTCCCAAGTGTTCCACTGATGGCATTAACCGCTACAGCAACCCGTCCAGTGCGTGAAGTAAGGACACAAATTTTTTATGATTTTCACCCGTGAAATAAACTTAATACTTGTTTGAAGTTTTTACTGATGCTTCATTCTGCAGGATGTTTTGAAGGCCTTAAACATCCCTCGTGCTCTTGTACTTGAAACAAGTTTTGATAGGTCAAACTTAAAATATGAGGTGATTGGAAAGAGCAAAGAGCCACTCAAGCAGATTGGAGAACTACTAGTCAGCCGGTTCAAGAATCTTTCTGGGATTGTTTACTGCCTTTCCAAAAGCGAGTGTGTGGAGGTTTCAAATTTTTTGAATGAAAAATGTAAGATTAGATCTGCATATTATCATGCCGGGTTGTCAGCACGGCAGAGGGCTACGGCTCAAAGGAATTGGCATGCTGGAGAAATTGATGTTGTCTGTGCTACTATCGCTTTTGGGATGGGAATCGATAAACCCGATGTTGTGAGTCCCTCCATTCTGATTTTGTTTTTAAATTTCCTAAGGGTCCATTTGGATGGAAGATTTTGGAGGGGATGACACGCGCAGTCTATATCTTTATAACTGCTGTTTAAAAAAATGATTGAAATTTGATTGAAATGTTTTATGATTGCCTATCATGTTACTCTTCAATCTTTGTAAAATCCAAAGTTCCTATAAAAAACCACTCCAAAGTTGTATTTTGTTCACATTATTTCCACACCATCAAGAGGATACATTCCATTTTGTCTGATAGTATAGTAACATCTTAATTTCATATGTGCATAATCATTCATCACACATTTGTAGAATTTGAGAAAACATGCCAGAATAATAGTTTTTTGTGCTTGCATTTAACAGCGGTTCGTTGTCCACAATACAATGTCCAAATCAATAGAAAGTTATTATCAGGAAGCGGGTAGGGCAGGGAGGGACAACCTCCCTGCAACATGTGTTGTTTTGTATCAGAAGAAGGATTTCAGCCGCTTGGTATGCATGTTAAGAAGTGGTCAAGGATACAGAAAGGAAAGCTTGAAGCTGGCCATGGATCAAGCTCGGAAAATGCAGAACTACTGTGAACTAAAGGTGCATTCTCCATTTTTTCATTTATCAGCTTTATCAACTATGCCCTTCTCTACTCCTTGTTAAGGATCATGGTTTTAACGAATCTTTATTTTGTTGCCAATCCATCGACTCAAATTTTTCACTTGAGTCTCTTTTTTTGACAGACTATCAAATCCACAAAGCTTCATGTGTTTGTTTGTTCTAATGTTATTGCAGAATGAATGTCGTCGACAAGCATTGGTGGGACATTTTGGGGAAGCAATCGATCGCAGTGCTTGCAGATCTGGCTCTAGTCCTTGTGATAACTGTCTCAAGATCAAATGATTATAGCATCTACAACCCGAGTGCTTCCGGATGGTCCTTACTAAAGCAAAAATAGGGAATCATTATGTGGAAGAACTTTGGAATGTTGATACTCTTATTTATGATTATATTTTTATGAAATCATTACTCTGTACTTATTATAGAGTATTTCAGTAATATTTGTGTTCATATTGAGATTCTTTTCATGCTACAATATCATATTGCTTTCATCTCATATGAAAGAAATAGCTTCATTAAATGAAGCACTCACTCCCCTACATTTTGTCATCCTCCATAGGATGAGTAAGAGAAAAAGATTGAACTATGACTGAAATTTAGAGAAAAATATCAAAATAAAAGATTTTTATTTCTAAAAGAGAGGCTATAATTTTAATAATGGATGATCGATGACACTATCTGTAGTCGTGGTTGTTTGGTGTTATGGTGATTGTGGGTCGGTGGTAATGGTGAAGTGGCAACAAGCTAATAGTATTGGTGGTTTTTCGAATAATGGTAAAGCTCACGCTTCAGGCGGGTCGACTCGCTAATTGACAAATGGATTGCCTTGGGGTCTAGACTTCAAATGTTGACTTTATGACTTGAATAAATATATTAGACTAATTACATTAATATTTGTCTCTCGGTCTAATGAACCTACCAATAAATATTCAATACTCCCTCTATCCCCATTTAGATTACAATATTCTTTTTTTGATAAGTTAAATATTAAGTCAAATAAAAAAAAATCTCCAAATACCTCCATTGCTATTAGTGCTCTATAGGACACTCTACCATATTGTACAGTGCTTTTGAGAAGGTGGGTGAGACATGAGATAGAAATGTGGATATGGAATATAGAAAGTAGGTGGGAGGCACGTGGATGTAGATAAGGATATGGAAAAAGGGTAATTTTGTCCAAAAAAAGAAAAAGAAGAAATATTGTAATCAAATTTAGAACAAGAAGAAGAAGAAATATTGTAATCAAAATAGAGAAGGAGGAAATATAATTTTTGAATTCATTTGGTTTAACTAAAAAAAAGTTACTTTCCTCAAAATTTTTTACCAAACTGCTCTAACCGGACCGGATTACCGGAATATAATTTTGTACTCCGTATATATTGCGTGTACGTATACGTGTATATACACAATTTATGTATTCCGGGAGGTGACTGAATTTTCCTCCCGCCCTCAGCCGGTCAGCCCCATCCCAATCGCGGCGGCGATCTGGTGGCGACGTCATCCTGCTCTCTCATTCTCGTCGCCCTTCATTTCTCATCTCAAATCTCCGTAATCTATCTGTTTTTATGTCGTTTAACTTCCTGCATATTTACATATACAGGCTTGCATTTGTTCGTTCATTTATATATCACCGGGAATGGCAATTGATTCCGATCTTTTCATTTTCTGGTTTGACTTAACCCGCAATGCAATTGCACTATATACTCCTTATTTTTAAATTTTAAAAATTGAATATGATTGTGTCCTTGGGAAATTGCCAAAATGGCAAAACTTTGTTTAATTTATTTCAAATTATTATCATTATTATTAATATCATCATAAATTTTTTATTTTTTGCATTTTGTTTCCTAAATTTTAAAATAATTGGGATTAGACATAGATAGTTCTAATTGACTGTGGTGGGAGGCATGGCTAGGAGGGTGTGCAAAGTGGCCAACCGCAGGGCCCCTAAAATTTTGAGGCCCCATATTTTTAAATTCATCATTAATTTTGAAGCATAAGTATTGTAAAATAATAAAATAGAGCCTAAAATGTAAATTTCGGACCGGGCCAATTTCATTTTTTCATTTTTTGAGGCCGACCCTAGTGGGAGGATAGTGAGAATATGCCTTATAGGAATAACAGTAATACTCTTGTTGTGTAGGAGTAGGAGGGGGGATTTGAGGTGAAAGTTGGCTTGTGATTAATTATATACAAATATACAATGCGGATGTTTTCTTCAAGCTGCATGTTTTCAAAGGAGCAGGAGAAAAATGGAGAGAAAAGCCGTGCTCTCTTGTACCTTAATGTCTATGATCTCACACCTGTAAACAACTACTTGTATTGGTTTGGGATTGGCGTGTTTCATTCTGGTATTGAAGGTATCCTCATACAGTCATACATTTGTCATTTTTTTCCTGTTTTTCTTATTTATCCCATTGTGGCATTTTAGCTATTCACTATATTGGGAGTGTGTTAATGATTAAAATAAAAACAACAATCCAGTATAATCCCAACTTTGTTGGGGTTTGGGCTCAAGATGCATGTAGTCTTACTCTTCTAAAATTAGAGGGGAAACAAAGAGGGTGTTTGAGTTAGACCCTAAATGCATTGCTGTATTTGATGCCTAAAACTTCAAAGAAAGTAAGAAGCTAGAGAAGTTTAATGTTCCATTTTGATTTGATCCATTATGTGCCCAAAACTAAAACATTGTCAATATGACTCTTTTGTAAGATTGTAGAGCTTAGTTATACATTTGATGCATTGTCAAATAGGGTAATACTGTACGCGCAATTCAAGAGTGTGGGGCGTAGGCCGACCCTTTTAGGTTGTACCTTTTATTCTCTGTTTACCTATTTGTCCTATTGTAATACTTCCTCTGTCCCAAATTAAGTTGCATTTTTACTATTTACATAGTCAAACTTTATTCAGTTTCTTTTCCAATTTTCACTACTAATTTGATAAAATAATATAGTCATGTCACCTCTTGTTTCATAAAAATTTTGATGTAGCTTTTAAATATGTATTTTTTTAATTTTTTAAATCCACCCCAATTTTCAAACAAATTGTATTCAAAACAACTTCAGTCAAACATCGTAAAATGAAGTATGAAATTTAAATTGGGACAGAGGGAGTAGCATGAGTTCTTGGAGTATTCCTCATATTCCTTTTTTTTATTTTCTTCATCTTGATTAAAGAGTGTGTGAGCAATCCTAACATATATTAGCTCTATTTGCAACAGACGAGAGAGCGTGATTGTGATAATTTAGAAATTTTGAGAGGCTGCAACAAGCCAACAAGGATGGCCTTTTTTGCCACGGTTTTTGTGTGTGCAATTTTCTAGTGAAAACTATCTTTATACAATTACTTGGCACTAGATTTTATACATGCCTTATTGTAAGTGCGGAGTTCATGTCATGCAAAGCGTCTGGACTCTGGAGTTCTTTTCAAACAATGTGGACAATTTGCAATTATGCACTACTTTCAAATTTGAAAAAGTTTGGGCGATTTTCTCATACGTTTCACTTCTCGTTATATAGTTCATGGTCTAGAGTATGGATTCGGAGCTCATGAATTCCCGACCAGTGGGGTATTCGAGGTGGAGCCACGAAGCTGCTCAGGATTTGTTTTCAGGCGGTCTGTACTGCTTGGCAGTACAGACATGTCTCGCTCACAAGTCCGATCTTTTATGGAACGCCTATCTAATAAGTACCGCGGGGACTCTTATAATTTAATTGTAAAAAATTGCAATCATTTTTCAAATGAAGTCTGTCTGCATCTCACTGGCAAGCCGATTCCTGGATGGGTTAACCGTCTGGCTCGTGTAGGTGAGAATGAAGTCCATCTGTATCATCTTCTGCATTCTTATAATTTAATTTACACTGGTATTAGCTTTGTCACTTCGCCAACCCCACCTAGTGGGATAAGGCTTTGTTGTTGTATTAGCTTTGTCACTTTGTCTTACACAAATATGATTGGTGTTTCAGGATCGTTCTGCAATTGTCTGTTACCCGAAAATATTCAGGCTGCGACAGTCAGGCATGTCCCTGATCATCAAACGTCTTCAGGTTAGTTTTGATTTTTATTCACCTCTGCTTTTGGAGTGCATCGTTTAAATTTCAAGATTTCTTTTCAACTTCACAAGTTGATCCCAAGATGGAAGTGTAAATGATAAAGATTGCATCTTTTTGTGTTTCCCACTTTCCCAGTTAAATTGGCAAAACAGATAGAATGATAAGAGGTGAAACTCCACATTGGGACCCCTAGGAGTAATTATTGAAAAAATATAAGCTAGTCATAATCCTAGTAAGAGTACAAAACCGGCTGTCCCCATCCTAGTAGGAGTCCAAGAATGGTAGCGCCCCTAAACAACTTCCTAATGGAATAACTTACTATGAAAGTAATCCTAAGTGTTGGAAAACAAATATGAAACACTTTGAGTAGCCTCCAACAACAACAACAAAAAGCCCAGTTCATTCCAATTTCGTAGGGGTGGGTGGGCTAAAAAACACAGAGGTTGTTTCCATTAGACCATTGTTTGCATTTTTTGCTCAAAACTTCGTAGAAAATAAGAAGCAAAGGAAGTTAGCTTCCAAGCTAGCCCAAATGCTCTTACATCAAATCTGCTAAGCGCCGCACTGATTTGGTGCTAATGTGCGCTAATCTTGTACGTGTAACGTGTTAGAAAATCCACACTCCATGCAAAACATTTTCCTTACAGAACAACAACAACAACCCAATATAATACCAACTTTGTTGGGGTCAAGATATATGCAATCTTACCATTGTTCTGTTAGACCCTACATGCAGTGCTGCATTTTCTGCTTAAAACTTCACACAAAGGAAGTTGGGAAAGTTTAATGTGTCATTTTGATTTCGTCCATTATGTGCCCGAAGCTAAAACATTTCAATAGTCACTCTTTTAGCTCCACTGGCAATGGACGATTGGACGGTTTTCTCCTTACAGAAATGTGTTGTAATTGCAGAAGATGGTTCAGATTCTGGTGCATCATGTTTGACAGAGGACAGCGATGATGACGACATTAGTCAACAGTTGTTGACTGCCCGGAATAGCGATGTGGTGTTTTTGAATGAAATGCCGGTAAGACTAGCAAAGGATCTTCTTTGATACTCTCTCACTTTTGACCCCTCTTTCATTTTCTTCCACTCCATTAAAAAGATCTGGTCCCATTCCTATTGTCTGTTAATTGTTTGTTATACTTGTGCATCATCTTACTGTAATTACTTAGCTCTCAACCCAACTGAGTTGACTAAGAGCTTAGCAATTTAGCATATGTTTTGTAACTTTTGTTCTTTTTCCAAACTATGTCCATACAAGATGTAAATTGTAAAATCTCTCCAAAATTATACTGAGCAACAAGAAATATTTGGTTGCTTGACCTAATGTGGTACAATATTACTTAAAGAATTGCTCTCTTCATCCCAAATTAATAGATTTGCTTACTTTGACTTCATGAAAATTAAAGAAAATATTGAAGAGATGTTGAATAGTAAAATGAGTGGTCGGAATTTGTTTAAAATAGAGAAATATTATGGACAATATATTCTTCTTTTGAAAAGGAAAAGAGAAAATGTTTTCATGCTTTCAAGATATGAAGATGGGTTTTGGTCACTCATGGGTGGTATATCCTAGTCCATGGCATTCGTTCATTTGGAAATATCTAGTATTCCCTATGTTAGGATTTTTTTTATAGATATTGTGATTGAAGTTTACAAATTTTGATCAAAAAATCTGTAAAGAAAATTTTCGAAAGTACATACACTTTTAATTAATAGTGATAAATGAACTCCATTCGTCCTATTCTCTAGTGTTTGTTTTGGTTTATCATGTTTCTTTAAAATTGTTATTAATTTGTTTTCATTTTTAGAATTGTGTAAGAAATAAAAAAATTACCTTTTAAAAAGTATGTCAAAAGTTTTACAAAATAAAAAGTGATATCAATATACTCCGTAATTTGTATTATTTGATCAAATGAGTTACCAAAACATATATAAAGAAGTAAATAAAGTTTAAACTTTAAATAATGAACCAGCACTACAATATACCATTTCCATTTCCAAGCATACTTTTAATTTTTAAGAGGGTGATTCGAGTGACATGAACCCTCCATTAAGGGTGAGCATCGGGTTGGTTCGGTCGGTTTCGGCCCAAAACCGAACTAACCGAAAAAATTATAACTCAAAATAACTGAACGAATCGAACATTGGGCTAAAACCGGACAAACCAAAACCTATAATAACCGAACTGAAACTGAAAATAACCTAACCGACCTTGAATTGTAATCTATTTATGAAATCATAAAAATAAAAGTAAACTATAATTACAAAAAATGTAAAAATTCATAGTTAAGACATCTATTGTTAAGTCGGCCCGGTTCCATTGCCACTGGATTCCAGTGGCTACGCAAGGCCGTACTATTATATGTCCAAATTCATAACATATCATTTCAAACACAGAGAATGATAGATTTTTTATCCAAAATTAAAGTTTTCTTACATACTACCTCCGTCCCAGTGTATTTGTCCAATTTGACTTTTTAAGTCAAACTAGACAAACTTTAAACTCCAATTACTCTCAATTCATATTGCATATTAGCATAATGAAATAGAATTTTGAAAATTCTCAATACGATAAATCTAATAAAATCATTTTTATGTTAAAATACATTACAATATTTATTTAATTGAAGCTCAAAGTTTGTCCAGTTTGACTCGAAAAAGTCAAACTGGACAAATACACTAGGACAGAGAGAGTATTTATTTAGGTGATCATTTAATTTAATGATTTTTTAGCACTTTAATTCTTCTAACATTTTCTAACTCTTTCTAGCCTTTTTCAATTCCTTCTTATTTCTTTCATCTCTTTCCAACATCCAAATTTGAAATTCCAACTCAAGAGGGTCTACAAATCTTAAAATAAGAGTTTTACTTTACTACTCACATGATTAAAACATATATACTCCCTTTACATATTTTCATCTATGATTTGATAAAACAAAAGACCCAAATCACATCTTGTTTGTGGAATTTTTGAAAAAAAATATTTTTTAATCCTACATCAATTCTCAAATAATTAAGTAAAAATAATTTCAGTCAAATCTGTAAATGCAACTACGACTCTTACGCCATATTCCAAAATCTGACCTTGAAAGTTTTTATGCAAAAATTATGACTTAAAATTTATAATCAAAACTGCTATGCCCTTCATTCACTATTTTAAGAGAATTACATTTGTTAACAAATTTAAAACTAAAAGTAAATGGCAATTAAAAAAACTATTGCCCTAACTCACTCAGTCATGCCTGATCCGTTTGCTAATCCTCACCTGTGGGCTGTGACATACACTGCCTGATGGCGCGGTGTTTTCCGCTCAAATCCTCCTCCGCCTTAGAGACATAATTAAACCAAAGAAAATATAATAATTATTATTAGTTGCCAAGATTAAAAGAAGAAATGTTGAGTGAATAACTATCAAATTCAACCACAAGAAAAATTATAAACAGTGGCAGCAACAACCAAACCATTATAAACTACTCCGTACAAATCTAAGTTATCCATGCAATAGTCACTCAAAACATGCATTTAACACTTGATGAAAACCATGGATGATTGTTTAGCCAAGATTACATTGTCTTTGTGAAGACAATACTCTCCAAAGCAAAGGTGCAACTTGATTGAAAAATAATACTCCCTCCGTCAATAATTAAGTTGTTTGTTTACTACTATTTACAGGATCGAATTTTATTCATTTTCTTTCCCAATTTTTCTCTAATTTTTTACTCATTTGATAAAGTAATATAGTCATTTCACTTCTCTTTCACAGAGCTTTTGAAGTAGTTTTTTAATATGTAAATTTTATTTTTTTAATTTCGCCTCAATTCTTAAATGAATTGTATTGAAAATAGCTTCAGCAACATCGTAAACCGAAACAAATGATTTAAATTGGAACGGAGGGAGTAGAACAAACAAGAGTATGTGACTCAAAAGAATGACACAACTATATGCCATATTTTGAAACAAGAGGTAAAGAGAATCACCGAAGCCACGCCCGCCCACCATTTTCCCACCTGGACAACGCACATAACCTCTTCCAGCACCGAAGCCGTCCGCAGGTTGTCTGTGAAGAAAATGTATGTATAGTCAACTAAAACATTCCGTAAAAAGTGTATGGTAGAAATTTCCCTGTAAAACTAGAACAAATAAATGATCACAACGGCGCAAGATAATGAAATGGAGCGTAAAAATCTTACTGCTGCCAATCTAAACCAGGTGTGAGCTTTAATCTTGCTTTCTTCATCAGCTTTACTAGAAGGTGGGGCCTTGTGGACAGGAGTGCTGAAATGTAATGGCATGGTATTGGGAATTGCATACAAATCATTGCCAAGCTCATCCCAGTCTAAGTCTTCAGACTACATTGATGAAATGTGTAAGGTTTTTTCTAACTGAACAAATCTGGAAACAGTATGCACACTATACAGATTAATACGGAGTACTTACATATTTGTTTGTACCAGTTCGGCTCCCACTGAACCACTTTTTACAGGGTCCGCCTCCTCAGACATACTTTCAGCCTTGGGCCTGCAGCAGAGCCATAATGAATCAAACTCAATTAAGCAATAAAGATTCATTCAACAGCCATAAGGGAAAAACATTCATGATCCTTCAGCAGGACTCTGATCCTTAAATCACACATCCCATTTTCTGATAAGCAAAAATCAGAATGTGGAGGTATTTGAGCATTTTAATACTAGTAGTGCCCAATACACCAATTCAAGGGCTTGTGTAGCAAACTATTAGTTGATTATTGAATGGACATAATGCGGGTTAATCACAAAGACCGGGGTTTGCAATACTCAAAAGAGGAAAACAACCACGGACATCTAAAGATTAACCATGCATGCCTCATCAAGTTCTGCACTGCAATACCAATCATTGAAGAAGATATCTTTACAGCAAAGACCAATTAGATACATGACGTATGAATTTTATTTGAATTGATTAAATAGCCAAGGAAATGCACAAAATGCTAGATCAGATCATCTGTTACTGAGAAATGAATGGGAGTCCTTGCTGGGTTCTGTTTTGAAAGAGCCTGCTTTTGGGGAATGGTTGTGACTTGTGAGTCCCTCTGTTTTTCACGGAAACAACTTCTCAACTCCATGGGGCAGAGATAAGGTCTGCTTACTGCTTAGATCTCACCTTAGGGTAGAGCTGAGTTCTGCGCACATTTTGCACCACAGCGCCTACTTGGTAGGATATTGTGGTTTGTTTGGTTAGGTTGTGTGTGTGAGTGTGTGTGTGTGTGTGAACTAAATTAGACCTAAAATGTTAATAGAGGGAATTTTCCTGTGAAGTTGGAACTAGCAAAATAATCAGAATTGCACAAGTAAATAAATAAAATAAAAAACTTACTGCTTCCGAGATAAGGCAGCTGTGTCAATGAAAGCTGTAAGCCTGTAATTGTATTTTCTTTTACCAGAAGGTGGAGCCAGTTGGACAAGATTTCTTGACTGAAATGGCATGGTTTCAGACTTTCAGGATTGCATATGAATCATTGCAAAACTGGGAATGAATGTGCGAGGACTGAAGGTGGTCCACAGCTCCTTACTTGAGCAATTTGTCTATTCTTTTGCAAGCCCCTTTGTTTGGAGAAGTCCCTCCATCAACATCGTATATGTTTGAGGATGAATCTGGTTACCGTTTTTTTCCATGACACCTAAAAGCTCAGAGCACTCATCAGAGAGCCCCCTCTTAAGTAAGCCATCAATTAACAGTTTCCATGCAACTTCATCATTATTATAACCACAGCTAAGAAGCTTCAAGAAGGCTTCCTTAGCCTTCTCATTACTTCCTTCTCCATAAAGCCCACAAATAAGGAAATTGTAAGCTTCCAAATGGGGTAAAAACCCATGACTAATCATTGTATCAACCAACTTTGCTGCAGCATCATGCCTTTTTGACTTGCAGCAACATTTTATCAGTGTGTTATAGATATCTTCACCAGGAGACATTCCACAGTTTTTCATATGATCGACAAGCATCCAAGCTTCTTCAAGGCGCCCTTCTCTGCAAAGTCCATAAATTAGTAGACTATACGTATGAGTGTCTGGATAGCAACCATGTTCCACCATTTTCCCAAACAATACTACGACAGTTTGGAACTCCATCATTTTCCACACATCCACAACATTAATGGAACAAACTTCAGTCCTATTGACACATTTTTCAATCTGGGATTCATGCAACAAATGCTTGATTAAAATGGAGTAGGTATACAGAGAAGGCTTGTATCCAGCCCGAACCATAGATTTAAAAGTACAAAAGGAGCGATCTAGTAATCTTAAACGTCCATACCCATCCATCAATGCTGTATAGGTCATCAAATCTGGCTTAATCGCATCCTTTATCATTTTTGCCATCAATTTTTCAGCTTCTTCCAACTTCCCTTGGTTGCAGTATGCCACAAGAAATGAAGTGTAAGTGCAAACATCGGGTTTAGTCCCTGAGGACACCATTAAACTAAGTACCTCAGAAGCACGGCCATAATCATTATTTTTTAGCAACTTCTCTATCAGAATACTGTAAGTAACTACTGTGGGTTTTACCCCTCTTTCTTCCATTCTTTCCAATAAATGAGTGGCTTCCTTGAGCTTATTGTTTTGGCATAAACCGGCAAGTATTACATTATAGGTGCATGAATTTGGAAATAACTGTTCATCAAGCATCCTTTTGAACAATGTTACCGCAGCATCAAGATTCTCTATTCTGCAATAACCATCTATCAAAGTGGTGTATATGACTTCATTTGCCTTTATGCCCTTCTCCTTCAAAGAGTCAAATATAGAATGAGCATGTTCAAGGCAGCCTTTTTCACATAATGCGTCGATGACAGAACCATAGGTCCACTCATCAGGAGCCACACCACTCTCACCCATCAACGTAAGCAGTCTGAGAGCACTGTTTATATGACCCTCACCACATTGTCCACGGACCAACAAATTGAATGTGACAACAGATGGAGATAGATTCTGTTCAAGCATTTTATCAAGTACTCCCATTGCTTTGTGCACCATTCTCACACCACAAAATCCAGAAATCAACTCATTATATGTGCGTACATTTGGCTTACATTTATTTAACTCCATCAAGTTGAATATCTCCATTGCAGAATTCATGTTTTGCACTTTACAGTACCCATCAATCATAGCATTGTACGTTACAACATTTGGAGCCTGACCTCTTTCCCTCATCGAATCTAATAACCTTCTTGCTTCAGCAAGCTTCTTGTCTTTACACATCCCGTTAATGAGAACTGTGTAAGTGTGCACATTCGGGTGGCAACCTTTCCCCACCATTTTATCAAACAGATTCAATGCCTCCATTTCCCTATTCAGATCGCACAATGCATCGATCAAAATTGTATAACTATGGACATTTGGACAACAATGATCACTCCCCATTTGGGAAAATAACTCCACTGCCTCATCAACCTTCCCTGCTTCACACAACCCGTGCATCAGAACATTATAGGAGACGTGACTCCTCTGACAAAGCCTTTTAGGCATTTCATCGAACACTTTACGTGCACTAGTTATATCCATTTTCCTGCAATGACCCAAGATGAATGAGGTGTATGTATGAGCGTCAGGACTCAACCCAGTTTGACAGATCTTGCTCAAATACATCTCAGCTTCAGTTACATTGCCCAGTTTACAGCAAGCGTGTATAATAGTATTGAATGTGTAAATATTGGGTGAAATCTTACGCCTTATCATCTCAAGATACAAGGATTTCATGTCCTCAATCAACATAAACCTCGACAAAGACATTAGCATCGTGTTACAAGACCTAACATTGAGCTTAAATTCAAATCTTAAACCACTCCCACCACCATGATCATCAGTATTATGCATTCCTAGAAACAAATTAACCACATTTTTCGTTTCATCCGCGCTTTCACATGATTTAATCATCAAAACGCGTATTCTATCCGCTGCCTGGAACATCTTACGGGGAATCAGAATGTGCAAGAGCGACAAATAGCACTGCATATCGAGCTTGAATGAGGGAACACTGGAGAGATAATCGAAGAAGGAGATGGCAGTGTGGGGATCGAGAGACGGGTTTCGGGAGAACAGAGAGGAGACATGAGAAGGGGACAGGGAAGGTAACAGCCTCCTGAGAGAAGCGTTCTTCTGCCAATTTGGGAGGGATAAAAGCGAGAAGAGTTGAGAAGAGATCTCCGTATGTGCAGCAGATTCCTCTGGGATTGAGAGAGGCGAGGAAGCGATCGAAAACGACAAAGGTTTGATGCAAACCGAAGGTAAACATGGCTGACCTGAGAGGAAGGAATGTGGATTCGGCGGCTTGATGGCAGAAGTGGCGGCCGCCGCCAACCTAATCATCACCGGAGATTGCCGTTGTTATGAGGAAGAAGACGAAGAACTGGGGAAGATGGTATGAAAAAAATGATCAGTTAACTCTTTACTCAGTTTTTTTAGGGTAAAATGATCCCTTAAAAAACTAATTGCCTATATTGTTTGGAAATTGTAGTTAAATTTTTCAAATAGAACCATAAGTATTTTATTTCCCAATTAAAATTTTATCAATTGATTAATCATAAAATAATAAGGTTAAATATTTTTACAGTCATTATAAAATTATCAAGTTTTTTTGTCTCTACAATATAAACTAATAAATTATTATTTTGCAAATAGTCTTCCTCTAATTTAAATATATATTTTGAAACCTGTAAGATTTATAAATTTTGTTTTTAGCCCTTCTAAAAAAATTGGTTTATTCATTCTTCTTTTTAAATTAGTAATACTTGATACACGATTAATTAATTTTTTTCTCAGAATTTAGTTAATATAATAAATTACAGTGTCAAAGTTAATGAAATATTTTTAAAAGATTAATAAAATAATTATATTATTGCAAATTTATTTTGAAAATCTCTAAATTAAAACACATTGGTTAACCAAATAAAAACTGTAAGCTAAGGAGTTTTGCATTGATACATTTCTCTAAAATGAGTAGCAATATACAGAACCAAAATTTCTTATCAAAGCGAGTCTTAGATATATGTTTTAAAAACAGCAGATATATACCCCGGAGTAGTAAAAAGTTGTACTTAAACATGTATTAGTTTACGTGAATATATTTATTAAAAAGCATTAGTGTAACAATACTTTTACCTAAATATAGAATTCGATTAAGCTTCTAAAAATATTTCAATGACTTTGAACTAGTAATTTACTCCCTACGTCTCAATTTATATTGCTTGTTTCAGTTTACGATATTTGATTGAAATTATTTTTAAATCATTTTATATAAAAAATGATGTAGATTTAAAAAATAAAAATCACATATTAAAATATTATATCAAAAGATCTAGAAGACTAGTGCTGACATGATTATTTTATTATATCAAATGACTATCGAAAAAAGAGAAAGAAAGTGAATGAAATTGGACCCTATTAATACATAGTAAACAAACAATTTAATTTAGGACAGAGGAAATAGCAAATTTTGATGAAATAGAATTAATTAATCTTGTACATAGTATTTAATAATTTAAAAATAAAAATATATAAACCGGACCAAATTAAAACGTGATCAAATTAAAACATATATTTACATTCGGAGGGGACTATTTGAAAAAAAATTACATAGATGAATTAATGATGATTGTAAAATTTGACTAAACAATGCATGAAAATATATAAAGAAATTTCATATAAGAAAGCAGATACTCCAATATAATTTATTCATATAAAAGTAACTTTATCTTTTATATTGAGACAGAATATATTATATAGACATGCAAATAAATAAGAATGAACGAAAAATGAATATATGGAGGCAGTTCTGAATTATTACAAAATTGGCATTCAAGAAAACAGCAATTTTCATTCGAAAGGAAGATTTTCATCTACATTTTTTGTTTGGTGGGGAAAGGGAAAAAAAGGCCAAGGAGCACCGGACCAAACCGGAAGAAAAACACAAATTAAAAACCGGTCCGAAAATTACAAAGAAACAAAAAAAAATTCATTGAAAAGAAAAAAAAAATCATCTACATTTTATTACATGGGAAAAAAAAAGACAAATAATGGGGTAGGAGCTTTTAAGGCAAAAGAGCTCCAAACTTCATTACAAGACTCTTCTTCTCTCTCTCTATTTATCCCTCCTGGCTGGCAAACTATCTCATCTATGCTTGCTGCGAAAACTGCTGCCACCATGCGGTGGTGGAGGAGGTGATGACTCATATCTGGACGATGGCCGCCTCTTGAAATGGCGTTCATCGTCACTGCTCTCATAGTCAGTAGCAACGCTGGCAGTGGTCTTCCTTGACCTTGACGAGGACCCCAGAGTTTTTGGGTCTTCGAGATGCCCGTTGGGTTTGCTGGTGTGACTCGTGGTGGGAGCACTGGCGGCGAGTGGTGGTTCGTGGGAGGACAGAGATTTTCGCTTCTTGGAAGAAGCTGCTGCTGCTTCGGCTTCTTCTCCCTCAGGGAAGCAGATGCGGGAAAACACGCTCTTTTTAGCCTTTTTATCATCTTCTGCAGAAGAAGATTTGGATGGTGGCGGTGGTGGTGTTGTTGTCGGAGGTGGTGGTTCTGAGCAGGTGGAGGATGGTGGCCTGGAAGACCCATCCGGTAACTTCGTGGAACGGTGATGGGACTCACGGGCACGACCGCGGGATTCATGGTCACGACCGCGGGATTCATGGTCACGACTGCGGGATTCGCGGTCGCGGTCCCCGTGATGGTGATGGGCTTTCTCACGGTGATGGTAGTGGTGGTGATGATCAGAGCGGTGGTCGTCGGACTTTCTCTTGGAGGATGAAGGGCGTGGTGGTAGTTCAGGGTCACAAGAGCGTCGTTCTTCTGGAGAGGGCCTCTCTGACCGGCTGTGGTGGTGGTGGTGGTGGTGGTCTGAACTTGATGATGGTGGGGGAGGTGGCGGCCTCTGTTCACAACACAAGGTGACAGCATTAGTAATAATAAACACCAGAATTTCAGTTCAATCCTACAATAATTAGAATAATAAATTAATACGGAGTATTATTATTACAACAACAATAGTATTAATAACAATAATAGTCAAAAGATGATGAGGGAATGGCTACTTCCTGACATGAAAAGAACCAGCTTTTACTATATATATAAAATGTTGAGGGTAAACAGCTTGCCCATATGTTGATAATATACAGGAAGACAAAACAGGAAGATTTCATTTTTCATGTAGATACTTCATTATTTCTGTGATCATAAACCCTATCTAAAAATCCAGAAATAAAAAAACAAGTGTGCATACAGATTTTGATTTTAACGAAGAAATATCCCCACTGCTGCTAACTTCCCTAGTGAACTCTGGATCTTTTGATATCCTGTAGGACATGAAAAATAAAATTAATATTCAGAATCAATGGTTCATGTAAAAGTTATTCGCGTGGATAAAAACAACCGAGAGACCAAGATGGTAGTTGGTACCTGTCCCTACGCATCTCAAGCTCACGCTTCCTCTTCAAATCCGCTTTTCTTGCTTCAAATTCTTCTCGGCTCATAATTGGAGGGCCATTGTTAAATCCTCCTGGAGGGCCGTTGTTAAATCCCATTGCAAAATCAGCAAGATCTCTGTAGTTGGACAATTTGTGAAGCAATTAGAGGAATATTTCTTGACTTATAAGTGAAGCTTAGTCAAATAATGATGAAGATGGTGATGAAAGAGGGAGAACCCAAAGGAGGCTTGTTCAGTTATTCCACCACGGAACACTAACCGAGGAAAAATCATGCTACTAAAGAAGATGAACCATTTTACCTTTGAGGAGGGCAAAAAGGAGGTAACATGCAACTTTGTGCTCCAAATGGATTCGGTGGCGGAATCATTGGACCAAACGCGACATCGAATGGACCAAAACCATGATTCATCAATGGCACTGGACCGGGAAATGGGCCTCCAAACCCTTCCATTCCAGGTTGCATTCCTGTCCAATATGGATTATACGTAGGGCCCATAGGCATCATATAATTCTCGGCTGCCATGTCATGGGATGCTCTCCACTGCATGTCTGCAGCTGCAAATGCATCCAGGGAAGCCAAAAAGACATTAGCCTCAAGAGTAAAAAAAAGAAAGCTATCAACTTCAAGAATTGGAATATTAATTCCTCAAGACATACTAGTTAAGGGAATGCGAGTTTTCTTCTTTTTCTTCTTCTTCCCTGGAAATGGATCAAAACAAAACATGGAAGAAATGAATGAGGCACAACAAATTTGACAAGTACTTACACTTCAAAAGTCAACTTTTTTTCTATTAAAAAAGGAATCCATAATATATGACACAGGCCACAATTAGATGCTTTGGCACTACTGGCAAATTACAGAAGCAATAAACAATTTCTAACTCGCTGTAATACATAAAAGTGTGGTCCAACTGAATAACTTACCAGCATCAGAAGCAGCTTGCTTCTGCTGGACTTCTTCATCAACCAGTGGAGCACTTCCCTGAGAAGTCTGTTCCCTCGCACTAATTGACTCATGTGTGGCTTCTGAAACATCAGCCACTTTTAATGTCTTCTCTTTCTCCAACACCTGTTGTAGAGCAGCGTCCACCTTTACCTCTTGGATTCCCTCTTGTGCCTTCGAACTCTCTTCTTTCTGAAGAGATGGTGGGGGCAGTTTCTCTCCTCTGGAAGCAGCAGATTGTGAAGGGGATGGAATCCTGGGATGCGGAGTCCGGGCAGACTCCATATCTGAATAAGTAAAACATTTAATTAATGGTTTTTATGAAACAATTGTTACCCGCAGAGAACCAAAAACAATCTCAACACTTGAAAATGAACCTTGAACTTGAAGGGTACTGCCCCCATGTTCACTGCTGTTATTGGACTCGAGGATACGATTGATGGTGTCTCTTAGAGTCTTGTTGGGCAAGAGATCATCCGCAAGCACATTTGTGGCTCCACATACACACATCAACTTAGATATGATGTAATCTCTTATACCTGTGCACAGGAGCTAATAGTTAGAAAGCATAAAATGCTAAAACAGAAGACAATTAAGGAGAAATCAATCGGAATCTCACATTTGTCACAGAAACTCTTGAAGCAACACTTGCTAGTAAGGACCGCATCTTTCATGACTTCTTTACACAAAGGACAATGGAGTTCAGGTGGAAGCTCGCCTACAGAACGTGTAGAAGGCATGCATTCAACTTCTTTATCAAAGGCAGCCCTACAGTTATTTCAAACTTAATTAGATCACTGGTTCTTTGCCCAGAAAACATCCACCAACCTTACCCAACTTACTCATTAGGCTTCATAACAGCACTAGCCCCACTTGGTAAAGCATATGAACCATCTGGGGTAGTCACTAGCATAGACTTGGGAATACCAGTTGGAGGCTTCACCCTCCTGACATCATAGTTGGGGTCACCATTTGTAGGACAATGTTGAATAAAATGTCCTGCAAAATAGAAATTTAATGACGCCTAACGCAAACAGAATAATTCGCTAACCATTTATATATATTAACAGGAGATGAGCATACCAGGAAGTTTGCACCTGTGACATACATAGCCTGGTGGCGGTGTTTTTCGTTCAAATCCTCCCCGGCCTTAGAGACATCATTAAACCAAAAATAGTACTTAGTTGCCAAAGTTTAAAGAAGAAACATTGAGTGCATAACTACCAAATTCAACCACAAGAAAATTAGAAAGAACAGCAACAACAATCCAATATAATCCCAACTGCGTTCTGCTCTGAGTGGGTCAAGATGTGCACAACCTTACCCACGTACTCCATATAACATAGAGGCTATTTATGTTAGATCCTTAATGGCATTGATGTATTTACTTCCCAAAAAATTATACTCCCTCCGTCCCTCAAGTTTTTTCAATTCATTTTATTTAAATAATGATATAGAAATAAAAAAATAAAATTTACATAGTTAAAAACTACATGAAAAATTCTTCGAAATAAGAGGTATCAAGAATATTTTATTTGATCAAATAATCAATGAAAACGTACAAATAAACAAAAGTTCCCGTGATTGTTGAAAAAAAGAAATGTGGCAAACATTTTGGGACGGATGGAGTATAAAATAGGAAACAATGGAGGTTTAATTTGCCATTTTGATAATAGTCCATTATCTATACAATGTCACTCAAAACATGCATTTAACACTTCGGCGAAAACCATAAAGATTAGCCAAGATAACATTAATTTTGTGAAGACAACAATATTCCTGAAAGTAAAGGAACAACTTGATTGAAAAATAATAGTACAACGAAGAGTTTGCGAGTCAAAAGAATGACACAACTATATGGTATATTTTGAAACAAGAGGCGAAGAGAATCACCAAAGCCACGCCCACCCATCATTCTCCCACCTGGACCACGCCCATAACCTCTACCAGCACCGAAGCCATCAGCAGGTTGCCTGTGAAGAAAATGGATACATAGTCAACTAAAACAGTCCATAAAAAGTTCACAATAGAAATTCCCCTGTAAAAAAAAACTTAGACCAAATGTATACTCAGAATGGTGCAAGATAATAAAATATGGAGTAAAAATCTTACTGCTGCCAATCTAAAGCAGGTGTGTCAATTAGAGCTTTGATCTTGCTTTCTTCATCAGCTTTACTAGAAGGTGGAGCCTCATGGACAAGGTTGTTGGACTGAAAGGGTATGGTATCGGGAATTGCATACAAATCATTGCCAAACTCATCCCAATCCAAGTCTTCAGACTACATTGATGAAATGCGTTGTTATGCATTAACATCTAAACTGAACAAATACGTAAAAACTACGCACCTATACAGAAAACAGATATACACTTACATAATTATTTGTACAAGTTTCAGCTCCCACAAGACCACTTTTTACCGGTTCAGCCTCCTCATACATATTCTCATCCTTGGGCCTGCAACAGAGCCATAATGGATCAAACTTAAATAAGCAACACAGGTTCATCCAACAGCCAGAAGGAAGCATTCATGATCATTCCCACTCCCCGTCTTCCCTTTCCTTAGGAACAATGTGTAGGTATACATACATCACAATTGGTCTTATAAGTCATTAGATGAACATCGTCATCACCAGGACCCTGATCCTTAATCACACAATCCATTTTCTGATAACCCCAAAATCAGAATGTGGGTGTAATTAAGCATTTTAATATTAGCAGTGCCCGAGACACCAATTCAAGGGTTTACATAGCAACTTATTATTTGAATATTGAATGGAAGTATAAAAAGCTTGTTGTTACAAAGTTAAAAGTGATTATGAATTTTTATAGCTAAACTTAAGATAAGAAAACAATGTTCAAAGGGTTGAGATTATACTCCTCTAGTTCAGTAACCGGTGCTGTAACTATGGGCTTGCGAGGTTGTCCAGGAACTCGACGTATTAAAACACTAGTATTTTTTGGAATCAATGCGGCTTCATCAAGATATTCTGTAATCACAAAACAGAAAGGATATATAAAACTTTGGAACTTTAAGGGATGTTCATCTATAAAAGCAAAAGACAATAATTAGCCATGGCTGGCAGAAAATATCATCATAACACCAATAACTTGATTTTTGCTACACTGTGATGATGGAAAAAGCTGCCCTGAATTAGTCCCATGTTGATGTTAACCTTGAACTAGGCCAATCAGTATAATCCCAACTCCGTTGGGATCTGAGACCAGTTGAAAAATGACACCCTCGAAAAATCATGGGAAAACAATAAAAAAACATCCTAATTAAATAATGAGTTGCAAAAAGCGTAGGCCTCATGTTCCCTTTTTTCTCGACACAACATAATAGGAGCAAAATGCTTGGAAAATGAGAAGTTAGCATTAAAAGAGTGTGAGACACAAATCAATATTAATATATCAAAAACAAAAACCAAATGCAAAAATATACAGGAGACTAGAAAAATGACTTGAGCCCTCATTGCCTGTAATGACTGGTTATTTATCACAACTCACATAATGAATCAAAGTGAAAGCAAGTGTTTATCCATCTCACAAATCAGAGAAGACTACATCAATTTACCAACCCCAAAATATCACTGCCCCTAACATGTGCATACTATTAAGTGTTGGCCTCACATTCACTTCTTTCTTGACTCAACATAATAGAAGCAAAATGCTTGGAACCAGTATTAATATAAGCATCAAAAACAAACACTACATGCAAAAAATGCAAGACCCCAAAAATATGATGAACCCTCATCACCTGTAACAAGTGGTTATTTATCGCCAACAGAACGAATCAAAGTGAAAGCAAGTGTTTATTCATCTCACAGATCACAGAAGACTACATCAATGAACCAACCCCAACTGTATGCCTATATCATTGCCCCTAGCATGTGCAGCATACTACCAAGTATTTATACTATTAATATTTAGTACACAAGAACTCACGCCAGATAATATTTTATTCAGCTTCAATTTGGGAATTAGGAATTCTTGATTGAATATTGGAAGTACTTAGTAATCAATGAAAACTAACCAACCTTCATTAGTCTGGGCGTTGGTGACAACTAGGTCAAAATCTGTACCCCTTCCCAAATGCTTGGATTCGAATATTTTTTCTTTCAAATTCAGAACAGAAATAAAGTGTCCATCAATTGGAACTGAATCAAAATCCTTTGCACTTTTAAACTTAAAATACACCGCCATATTTCTTTTTCTTAATTTTTCTCTTTCACCTCACAGAAAGTCAACAACAGAAATTCAAAAAAGGCCTTCGAATAAGTAAAAATATAGGCCTGGTATCAAACTCAACCTAGAATTGATCACAAGTACAACAAAAATTCCGGAAAAAAACTACTCTCTGTTTTCTTTGGATAACTGAAGATGATCGATCAAACCAAACTGGAGCAGCCTGTGTGGGAAAAAGTGCATCCAGAGCCTATTCTGACTCGTCAGACATATTCAAGAAAAGAATTGTCGCCGATTTCTATGGTTGATCCGATCAGAGAATTGCCTTGAAACTCCACGCCGCAGAGCAATGAAACCAAGCCACGGGATCTTCCAGAAACAGACAGATCAAAGGAAAAGCCACGTCCTTGCTTGAGAAGGAAGGTCGCGGCAGCCGGATTGCTGAAGTGACGACCTTTTGCCCGCTGCGGAATCGACTTTAATCTTCACGAACCATTCGTACCCAGGAGAAGGCCGATTCTGCGCGAACCCTAACGCGCTGCTTGAGACGGGCGTCCTCAGAGCCTGAATTTGCCGCGGAGGACGATGACTGAACCAATTAATCCGATCGATGAGGCTTGCGGCGCACAGAAAATCTTGAACGCAGCAAAATCGAGACAGGGTTAGGGTTAGAGGCTTCGATTGAACAGATTCGAAGAATGTGAAGATGGGGATAAATTGAAAAGGAAACCTTCGATATTGTTGATTATCTGTTTCCGGAAGAGCTGTAAGCCCATATATACATACACGCCTGTCTTTACTCCCGCAGCCTTCTTTTTTTAAATACTCGGTAAAGTGGGTAGTATTGGGAGAAAGACAAAAGATTAAAATATTAAAAATATACTATCAAAATAGAATTTTTATGTTTTTATTTCTGAAATAAAATTTAAAATGCATTTGCATTACTAAACATGGTCATATATATTAGAAAAAATAATATGTAATGTACACGTGTACAATGTCACATTACCACAATGTGAAGTCCTGTTTTGGAAAAAAAATATGAAAGTCCTATTTTGATTCCTATTTAAGGTGATTTTTATAGTATTTTGGCATGTTATGCAAGTTAAAAATGATACTATATTAGATATAAAAATAGTTTTATTAGATTTATTGTATCAAATATTTACAAAATTTTATTTGCAATATATGTTTTATTTAATTATAGGGTAAAGATTAAAAACAGTTAACTGAAAAAAGTTAAAACTGGAAAAATACTCATAGACGGAGGTAGTAGTCTTGATACATATCATTCTTAGATCTTGTATCATGGGGGCTATGACATAATTTGATGGGTGTAAACGAGTATGATATGAAGTGATAAAATATGTGTGCTATGTGGTGAGTGCGACAATATAACAATGGTAGTGTGAACTCGTGTTTTGGGCTTAAATGATTTATGACTCATATTTTGATATTTTCATAATTTTGTAATTCTATTTATAGAGTTCTTCCCCTTTGTAATGGTAAATGGGCATAAGTGAGGGTGGTCAAGCCCCTCCTCACGCCACATAACACAAGCCTTATGTTAAAAATTGTCACATAGTTTTGATATATGACATTTTCTCATAGATTGGAGTTTACAAATTACATATAAATAATGTGAGGACTAATTATTTTTTTCGTGCGTTTGATGAGTATTGAGCGAATTCCGAAAAAATAAACTACAGAGTAGAGTACTACGTACGTATATGTGTAATGCTTGAGGTATATGAGTATATCAAATTTGACAAATTGTACTTGGTTATACGTCATTTCCATTTTTGTGGTACATTTTTTATTTAGAATATTTGATTTTAGGTAAAGAAAAATGTATAATGGAAGGAGTGTATTGTACAACTCGAAGTACAATTTAAGCTTCGTATCGTATAACTTGTTTTTCAGATTATTATTTATTATTATTAAAATCAGATCAGATTTAATCAGACCATATTAGATCCAATTAGATCAGATCAGACTAGATAACAATTTTAAATATAATTACAATTAGGAGTAAGCAAATACCGAACACGAAAATTCTCGAAAAATTGAGAACACCGAATCAAAAAATATTGAACCGAAGAAAATACGAAAAAAATGAATTGTACCAAACTAAATGATTGGTTTGGTATTTGGAATGGCACGAGATGATTTCCCATGCAGAAATTTTTGAATCAAAGATATATACTAATATCCTATAAATATAATATTCTTTTTGTATTTCTTCATTAAATTATAAGTTCATTTTTAAATTTGGTTCACATTTTATTATGTATACATTGTTCTTTTATTCGAGATTTAAATTTTTGTAGATAAATTAAAAATATTAATAAGTATTTGGAATACTATTCTGTTATCATTCATTCCCTTTAGTTTGTGGAATACAAATTCTTGAATTTAATTATTATTTTTCTCAATTTTTTTATGCTTCTTTGTTTAAATGGATTTTTTTAATTTTCAAAAATAAAGTCTTTTGTTACATTTTAAAGTATAAATTAGGTACTCACATATTTATATCGATTTGTACCGAAATCGATACCGAACCAAAATTTTGGTATCGAGATCGGTACAACATAAAATCTCATATCGAACCAAAATATTTGGTACAATATCAATACAAGCTAAATTCTGTACGATACTCACCCTTAACTAATTATATCAGATCAGATCCAATTAGGTCAGATCAGACTAAATCGGATCCAATCAATTTAGATTTTCAAACAATCAAATCAGATCAGACATATGGAACGTAGCCTTAGTGAATCCAAACATGTTTTAAATTATACTCCGTATTGGTTTTGAATTTTGAAAAAAAAAATATGAGTTCTAAATTCGGAGGATAATAATAGTAAAATAATTTCATAAAGAATACAGAGTAATTATATACTCCGTAGTTGTTTTAGCATCTTATAATTCACATCATATCATTTGTTCGAACATATATAACATAAAAGATTAATACTCCTTGAAAATTATTACCAATAATAAATGTTTTGTTTAATACAAACTTGTATCTAAAACTATTGAGATTTTATGTGGATAAATTTAATTCGAAACTTGTTGATTCTATAAAAAAATTACTACCTTCATCTATGAGTATTTGTATTTTTTGACTTTTTGCAGTCATTGACAAAAAATCACAGTATACTCACTTTTAACACAAATACATTTCTCTCATTGACAAGATATCACCAAAAAGGTGTGTGAGTTTCTCCTGCTTTGAATTTCCATGCAAAGTAGAACTTATTCATATTTTAGTGATTTGTTAGACTACGTTATCATTTTTTCACGGTAAAAATGACATGACCGCCGGTCAAAACAATTTAAACTATTAGTGAGAAAGTTAAAAGGATTACTCCGTATAAAAATATAATACTCCGCAATAATAATAACAATAATATAATTCAATGTAAAATTTAATATACTCGCATACCATGACACATGTTGTAAGAATTAGCTAATTTCCAATACTATAGGGATGTACATTCTGTGTCACGAGAATGTTTGTAAATTTTTGTAAAATAAAAACACATGAGTAAAATCAAATACAGAATTAAAATAGCAAAGAAGAAAACAAAGATTTGTTTACTGATTCTCCATAACTTGTAGCTAACATTGTCTTCTACAGACACTCAAGATTTTACTACATCCATTAAGCTTATGAATGCTTAAAAACCGTTATGACCACTTCTAAATGTCTCTTATGCAAGAACCAGAACACTCAACAAGAATATATATATAGCCTTTTTACGCCTCTCATATACAATATAAACACTCTATATGAGTAGGTTAAAGAAATATAATATAAATGATATGACCAACACACATTAGCTATCAAATGGTTCAAGAAATGCTCTATCCTATAACTTTTGCAAAGAATGATAACAAAATAATGCTGTGTGTGATGTGTCTTGAAAAGTAGACATAAAGAACCCTATTTTAACCCAAAAACTCATACTTATTGTCTTAACAAACAAGCGATTTTCGGAGTGTTGATTTTCTTTTATGAAAGACATACTAGTTGTTGGGAAAGCTGACAATCATAAGAACATCGATTTTCACGAACCAAAAATCAAATTTCTAAAATTCAAACTTGCCAAATATAAAAATCCAGCAGACAACTGAGAGTAAGAGACGGTTACATAAAATCGATTTGCTAAGAGGAAAGTCGGTTTTGAATGGAGTATCATAGTGTTAGTTTTGACGCCTAATTTAATGTTAAAAATCACACTGGTATTTAAGATATACTTCGTATAGTGTAAGACTATTTATTGAACTTAAACTATTCATATAAGAAAAATATCTTATTACCTATATTCTAGATTAGTTATCAATTTTTAATCTGTTGCAGTTAAAATTGATAAATTTTGCCAATAAATTAAATAATTTTGATATTAGATATTAATTAATATAATTTTTTTGTGCGTATTAAAATTTTTATATCATCTTTATCATTTTCAAAAACACTATTTTAGTACTCCCTAATACGTAGTACTACCTCTGTTTCTGAGTATTTGTCCAGTTTTAACTTTTCCGGTCAACTATTTTCAACATTTGACTTATAATTAAATAAAACATATATTGTATATTAATCATATAAAATAATATTTTAAAATTATTTGATATAACAAATCTAATAAAATTATTTTTATATCAATATCTAATATCATTTTCATTTAAGTTGATGTCAAAATTTATTAATTTCAATTAAAAAAGTTAAAAATACAAATATTCAAGGACGAAGCGAATATTTAATAGTCCTTTCTCTTTGTGGGGGAGTAGACTAGAGATGTAAACAAATCAAATTTTTTGAATTCGATTCGTGATTTGTATTCGAATATAATGATTCGAATTCGCATTATTCAAATATAAATTCAAATTCAAATATTATTTTTTATTCGAATATTAAACAAATACAAATACAAATAGGGATATATTCGATTCAGATGATATTCGAATATTCAAATATATGTATATATGCACAAACCATGTTTTCAATATCAAAAGTCAAGCAAAATAATATAGTATAAAGTGTATTTAAATTACTAAGAATTCAATAAATTAATGTAACACGAAAATCTAAAGAATTTGATTTTTAACAGTTATATTTTATAAAATATAATTTGTGTAAGATGCAAATTTCTTAATGTTTTTAGATACGGAATATAGTATATTATAAGGAGTATCGTAAGTTAAATTACAAATCGATATTGGTCCATCATATAAATTACATAGCATGATTATTCAAATATTCGTTTAAGATTCGATAACTATTCGAATATTAATCAAATACATATTCAAATCTTATTTTGAATTCGTCTCATATTCGGATTCGGATTCGGATTCGTATTCGAAAAATCAAACAAATACAAATTCAAATATCTCGGTATTCGCTTCGATTCGGTAGACTTAGACCAAGTAGACTATGGAGGTAACTTCGGATCATGGTGACCAAACGAGACATCATTATCAAACTAGATAAAAAGATACCCCGGAGTAAATTACTTGAACAAGATAACTTTCGAATAAATTATCCGCACACTTTGTTTGTTCTTCGTCCACCTGAAGACAATTTGCAGCTGCTGCTGCTGAGTGTGAGCCATCGTCAACAACGTGGTTTCCGTTTCGGGCGTTGTTGGTTGGTGGATCATAGCTAGCTAGCTAGGGTTCATCAGCAATAATTCCCAATCAAGCCGTAGACGATGCTGTTATGAGGCGTCCCACTGCCGTGCCGTCGGGCTTGAGCTGATCGGAGGTCTGGATCTCGTCGCCGGATGGAGGGGGTGGCTGTAGCGTCTCTAGACTTGCCTCTTCCGGTAAGTTCCATTTCCTATAATTTCCAAAAAACGCGAATGATTTTCTGTCTGCAGATCGAGTTTTTGAATTTCACTGAATTGCTTGCTTTGTTTCAATCTTTTACTTGTTTCCTACCGAGAGCGAGGTATTGTTGTCAGTTGATTTTCCTTATTTCATTGTTTTCAATTTGGTGTTTCCTGAAGTGGCGCGTGAAAAACTGCATTTTTGGCATGTGCATTGGTATAAATGAAGATCACTCAATCAATGATTCTGAAATGGACTTGTTTGAAACAGAGACTTTCCTAAAGTGTTCTACATCTTTTGCAATCTTTGAATTTTGGAAGCTTACTCATCACTCATCCGTTGAGCTAAGTTGCACCGAGACAGAGATGGATACTCATACATGGATGAGTTTGGGAACCGGAAAACACTAACTTTTCTGAAATTTACAAACGATTTGGGTGGCTGGACGGCACCAAGTATGAAGTACCGAACTTTTTGTGAACAGAAAAATGCACTTATTTGAAGAATCCGTCCAACATAGTAGTAGAGTAACACTCATTTGTTTGGGTTCTAAGTTTTTCCTCTCCTTGTGAAAGCGACTAATCTTGATTGATTTTTATTGCTGGGTACTAACCTTTTTGCCTTAAATGATCAATAAAGATTTGTTTCCAGAAATGGTGAATGATCTGATTTTTGAGGTTAAACAGAATACCCGGAGTAGGACATCATGGAGTATAAGTTAGGATATATTTATAATGAAATTTGCACTAAATAGTACTAAAATATATGTCTTTTCCCAATGTAGTACTTAAACTTTTTTATTCCTTAAATAGTATTTGAATAATGTCTAGTGGCGGGAACAATGTCGATTGATGATGGACATTTAGTTTGAATAATGTCCGGTGGCGGTGGACATTTACTTGAACAATGACTAGTGGACATTGAACATTAGTATACATTGGGAAATAAAAACATATAGTACTGCATTGGAAAAGTCACTATGTTTTCATACTATTTAGTTAAATTCCCCATATTTATATACATAGCTGCATGTCTTCTCATTTACTATTTGACCTATAAAAATTTGAATTATTCTCATATTTGGTTTTACAGTTATTGAAAACATAAATGCACCATTTTAAATATCTAATTTATTGTTTTTGAAATATTTAGGCCCGTTTGGTAGCTATATTCTACTTATTCTTAAACCGAGCATTAACTAGATAAGTTGTTTTTTTAAATGGTGCACCAAACATAAAAGAAGAAAAAAAGTGTGTATCAGCCGACATTAGTTTTACACATTTACTTGAAGGTACGCAAAGCATTGACATCCATCGCATACCCAATACCAATTATATTTCTTATAGTTCATGTGCATTTTGCTTTCTATATGTGAAGTAGTGTATTGATTAAGGAGAAGAATAACATGAGTCTTGGAACCAACAAATGAAAATTGATAAAATTTGAAATGGGGTAGGGATCACTGTAATTGGCCATAAGACACTTGGGTTGAACCACATAAAAAAGTTGAATCCAATCGATTACTTAGTTCAAATTCAAGACCTTATATATCGATTACTTTTCTCTTTAACTTCCGATGTGGGATACTTTAATACTCATTCTCAAGTGGAGCACCTTTTGAATTTAACCGGTTGACCACTTGCAAATAGACTCCTCTCCCCAGGAACTAGGAAATGAAAGGATTGGAAGTGCCAACACCTAAAGAATCGCAAATCGCTGGGTATGGACTTCTATGCGAACAATCGGGTAATATGGGCCACTGGCCGTTTTTCATACAAACAACTCGGCTAAAGATTAATGGGTCGCTAGGAATGAACTTGTAGCCGGACACCTTACAAATGAGGTGAGCTAAAATTGGCTCTGAGATCATGTTAAGGAACCATTTCAGCCAAAAGTTCAAGCTCGTGGTTGTAGGCCCAAGATAGGTTTTACACTTTAACACGCCTCCTCATGCGTAGGCAAGATTTATATTTGCTCGATCTTTGCACGTTAAGTTAATTTTTTTAAAACTGGGTGGCGGTGAGGTTTGAATTCGTGACCTCTTTGTCATTAAAGCTTCAATACTATGTCAAAGAACCTACACAACCAAAAAAACTCAAGCTTATGGGTGTAGGTCCAGAAAAAGTTTTTTACTCTAATACGCCTTAAATTCTATAAAAAATAATCCATCCATATAGAGTACATAGATCTCCCTCATAAGATAATTTTTATAACATTCGCTTCAAGTTGTCTAGCGACATTGGGTTTTCAGTACTCATATCTGGAAATAATTATGGATGGGACACATAGACACGTAGATACTTGTTTGTAAAAGAAATGTATACTTTTCCCAAAAAAGGTAAAAAGTAGTGGCGGGCAAAAATACCGGCCTAGTATGAAACGATATATGCATGGTATCAAACCAAAAAAATGAGATTTCAAATGGGTCTAGTAAACTAAGTGTCTGTGTGCATTCTTGGTAAAAGAGGCTTGTCAAGGTCAATTTGCACTGCAACTCGAGCAAAACGCCCTTGATCTCGACATCTTGTTCCTTAGTCACTTTATCAAATCACTTGGTTTCGCTAATAATTTCCCATGCGCTAGCAATCTTGATAGTAATCCATTCGTAGTCCTGGAAATCTAACCCATATCACCATAACCTTCGAATCTGTTTGCTCATCGGGACCAAAACAGGGCTTCCATGTGCGCACAATGTCTGCAAGCATCCAAGGCCCCCCAATCAACACGTATTCATAATTCTCCCTTTGTCCCAAAAATGACTCGTAATTACTATTCATAGGTCCAACTGACTCTACTTCCTTTATACATGTTCATCAATCATTTGATAACATAAAATAACCTTGTCACCATTTGTTTTGTAGAACTTTTGATATAATTTTTTAATACTCCGGTATATAGTTTTAATTTTTTAATTCTAACCAATTTTTACTTACATTGATTTGAAAAATGATTGTCAAGTTGACCTTGACGAGCCTCTTTTACTGAGCGAGAGAGATTTTTTTTATAATGAGAAATTAATTTTACAACAAATATTTTTTATTCAATTTAATTTTTTGTGACACACACACTATAAAACTAAAAAATACTCCGTAAATATAAGTTACTTTTTTAAAAATAAAATATTTTGATTTATTAAATTAAATATTATGTAGATAAAGTAAATTTATGACATGTGGGGTCCACCATTTTGAAAAAGAAGGGAAAGTGTAAGGAATTATTGAAGTGGGGGAAAGTTAAGAAGAAAAATGATGTGGAATTAAGCATAGGGAAGAGAAGGGGAAAAGTGGGGAAAAAAATAAAGATGCTTTTAAATTGCTCATAACTTGCACTTGGAATGTTTGAATGCAACAACTGAGGTATTATCAAAAGTTACTAACAGTCACATCCTGCTCATCAAATTTCATAACTATAAGATGTCTTTTCATTCTTCTTTTAATTACATCAAAATCTGTGTAATGCATACTGCTAAAATTTAATGAAAAAATGAGCACTTAAATGAATAATGAAACAATATCTGATTGTTATAAATTTTTTATGAGTATGATCTCTCCATCCTAATTTTCCATCATCTCTGATGGAGCCAAAATTTCACCATTTTTGGCTTTGGGGTGTGATGGAATAGATCAAAATGGATCTCTAAACTATCTGCACTTCTTTAATTAATGAAGTAGCAGATAGTCAAGCAATGCAACTTTCGACGTTGAGCCGGGGGTCTCTTTGGAAACAGCCTCTCTACTTTCGAGTAGGGGCAAGGTCTGTGTACACACACCCTCCCCACACTTGTGGGATTTAACTGGGTTGTTGTTGTTGATCTCTCCATCCTAAAATGACATTAAATAATTTTGTTAGCCACACTATCCCTTCTTGGCCTGCATTCTCCAAAGCTCCACTAGGATCTCGTCTGGCCTGGATCGGTTGCTCCATCCTCCTCATCATGCTTATAGTCTCCTCCACCTCTCCCACAACAGCCAAAATATATGCTTCTCTCAGAGTGCCCCAAAATTCCCAACAAGAACTCCTGCCCCCTGTGAACCTAAGAGTTTACAACAACAACATTACCCAAATGCCTCAAAGGCTCCCGCCCAATGTGTGTTAAGGGGGGTCGGATTTATGCAGCCTGATCTCTATGTTTAGAACATAGAGCAACTGTCTCCGGATACCCATGATGAACATCGAGAGTTGCATTGACTAACTACTACTTCACTATATAAGAAGCACAGACAGTTCAAAGAACCATTTTGCTTGATTCAGTCATACTTATGATGAACATCTGTGTAATGCATACTGCTAAAATTTAATGAAAAAATGAGCACTTAAATGAATAATGAAACAGTTAAGAGTGTATGGAGCCATAAACTCAGAGTCGTGTACTGATGGAGCCTCATCGTCCTTGCATCTCATTGGGTCAGAATCCCGTGCCTTATGTTTTCTCACATTTGCCTACTGCAAAATTTTGATCTGCTACATGGATAGTTTTTTTTATCTGGAAAAGTATCCTAATTCTTTTTTTGATAGGCTACTTGAATGTGTTTCATGAATGGTTTTTGATATGCTGCATGAGTATAAAAAACCTCCTAATTCAATACTCTGTATTTGACATGTGAATGGCTGTGATGGATTCCTCAATCCTTATTCTACCTGCATGGATTTGATTAATGGTCTACTGTTGAAGCACATTAGGACAGAACACATCTTTCTGTTCTGTTGATGTTTTGTTGATTACATTCATTTCTGAAATCAGATTGGATAGTGGATAGCTTCGATTTTGTTACTTATTGTTACATTGATAGGTTGGTAAGGAATGCCACAATACAATCATGGTTTTATAGGAAAGTACCCGAGTAAATGATTTGATGTCCAATGAGTTGGGTTTTAGGTTAGGTTGGCTGGAACAAAGAGTAATGATTATAATTGTAGTTCTTGCAGTTATGCTGCAGATATAATTTTGATTACCTTAAAGGAAGAAAACAAGTATGAACACCAGAACATATATGTTTCCTTGAAAATATAAAGATTGAACTTTTGATGGAGTGTGCGGGTGTAACTTTCTAAAATTGTTATGATTTGCTCATCTTTATTAATTTATGTATTACTTTTTGTAGAGTCACACAGATGGATTGTGATGACAGTGATGATCAAAGTCAGAATTTTCACCTAGTTGCTGACAATAGTACGAAGGTTTCTTCTGTTTTGTGCCCTTATGCTCTTCCCAAATTTGATTTTGATGAGAACCTCCATGGACATTTAACTTTTGACAGCTTAGTTGGAAACGGAGTTTTTCTCGGAGTTCCTAATCAGGAAGACAACCCGTGGATTGAAGAACTTTCTCGAGGAAGTAGTGGAATAGAGTTTAGTCCCAGTGCTGCCGAGTCGTGCTCTGTCACTAGGCGCAATAATGTCTGGTCCGAAGCAGCATCATCAGAATCTGTTGAAATGCTGCTAAGATCAGTAGTCCAGGAACAACAAAATCTTCCGGTGGATACCGTTCTTGAGGAATCAGATGCTGGGAATGATTTGGCTAACATAACATCACAAATGGAACCAAATCTTAAAGAGGATAATAATTTAGATCATGTTAAAGATTCTATTGCAAGTGTACAACCCAATGAGTTTCCTAGGTCAAACGATACTACTGAGGCTAATGCCATCCAGATCGCTGTGCAAACTCAAATGGTGGAAAATTATACTTATGAGAATGTTGAAAGCAGGGAGAACGTCCAGAGTGTTAAAATCACAACTGAGGATTGCATTCAAGTTGAATTGAGTAGTAATGATTCTAACAAAGCAGAAGTTTACACTTTAGAGGATGAAACCTTTGTTAACCAAAGGAAAGCAAAATCATCTGCTTTGGGTGTTCAAAGTGAGGAGTGTTCTTTCGATACTATTATGGTAGGGCATCCAAGTGAGAGAGATAAATTTTCTGAAGTTCATCTTGAACCTACGAGTGGATTACCTGGTAATTTTTGTAAAGGAATGGTGGATGATGCTATAGTGAACCAAAGCATTGCTATGGATGATGCAAAGTCACGTCCTATGGTTTATCAGGCAGATATTCCTGCTGCTAGTAGGGATTGTTCCTCCAATGTTACCTTAGATGAAAGTGTTGCCAAAGCTAGGGTTGAAAGCACAATTAGTATTTTGGGGGAATCTTCTAGTCTGGTAGGAAGTTTGGACCATGATTTGTCTTGTGCTGAGCTATGCAAGATAGATGTACCTTTCACTGAATCACCTAAAGTCAGGGAGTCTGGCATTGTTGCATCACCTAAAGCAACCAAAAATCAACACCTGAATGATGATCGTAGTATGTTACAAGAGGAGACGTCTGCGGCCTTAAATAGTGCATGTGCATCTGATGTGCGTGTTGCAAATGCGAAAGAAGTTGAAGGCGTTGAGACCTGCTCCAATCTTGAGCCCGAGAAGTGTTTGGCTTTAAAAATAGTAGATGGACAAAACCCTGTAGCTCAAGAACACAATACTCTTGGTAGTGTTATCTCACCAGATCAGAAACCTTCTTTTTCAGATCAGAAGCCTTCATTTGTTAGTCCTGAGAGATTAAGTGAGCCTTTTGGACCACAAATTGTTAGCAATATTGCCCAAAAAAGTGATTGTGGTGCTATGATGGATGGAACCATCCCTGCAGTAATTTCTGAGGAGGGACATGCAGATGAGGGTTTGGAACATGGAAATGAGGGTATAGAGACAGATGGAGTGGTACTAGACAGCGGGCACCATGCTTCATCCCCTTCCCAAGTTGAACACACACAAATCTATAGAGAAATATTTCCCTCTGAGTTACCTGTCAACAAATGTTACAGTGACAAAACTGCTTCTACTCATGAGAAAGGGATAGCAATGCCGTATGTTATTGGATCCTCTTCCACTTTTGAAGAGCATATAAATGATGTTAAAACTATCTGTGCACCTAAGCTCGAGACTTCACTACAGATCAAACAAGGTTCTCTTTCTCTACTTCTGCAAACATGAATTATATGTTAATCCGGATATATATATATATATATATATATAACACACACACACACACACAGTATATATATTCACTTGGTGCCAGTGCTCACTTTTCTCTTAATGCTTTGTACCTGCAATAGAATAAACTGCACTTCACATGATACTCTGGACAATGCCAACACACTTTCTAAAAATATTGATGTTCCACTAGTGTTGCTAAGTGACCCTATAGTGGAGCCTTCAAATATTGAAGAGGGGTCTACAAATTTTAGTAATGAGGAAATTAATAATATATGCTTCACAGAAGTAAACTCATCAACAATGGTGTTGATATATTTAAGCTTGGGTTTGGAAAGGGAGGGGAGTGGACTGGTCGAGTATATGGAGGAGGATGAAGGGTTGATTTTTAAGATGGTTTAAAGGCATAAGAATAGGGGAGAAAAAAGGGGGATACTGGTTGTGCTTTTTAGGAGGGTCGAAATTTTGGAAGGGAAAATAAGAGGGGAAAGGGATAAAAAACCAAGTAGGTTTTAAGAGATATAACACACTCTTGTCCTCACTTGGGGTTTGAATCTAGAATTTAATTAAGATATTACACACTCAATTAAATAACTAGAACCTAACACTCACACTTAAGGAAACCAACCTTAAGATATAGAAATTAGGATTTGAAAACAGAATACAACCAGTGTATTTCTATTTTGAAATGAAGAATAAAAATCTGAGCATTACAATAGGCCTATGGCCGAAATTAAAAGGCACTCATACAAAGGAAAATACTAAGCTATTTCTTCCACAAATCCTAGAAAATGCAGTCATGTGCTTGAGTCCTTTCATGGAATAAAATCAGGGAAAATGGGGACAAGGATTCATGAATGAATATTCATGAATGGAAGGGGGGTTTCGGCCATATTAGAGGGCAAAATGGATGGGTGATGTGTTGGGTATTTTGGCTTGGCTAGTGAG